CGTCCGAAAGCTGTTAAAATTATTTCAGTGACAGGTCATTATATTGTTTACAAGCGTACAAAAATATTTTGGTGAGAATTTTCCAGAAAAAAGTTATTCGTGATGGAATTCAAGCGCGATAGTGTGATTTCTTTATATTTTGCTGGAAAACCACAAGTGGCTATCGTTAGAGCATTTAAATGTGAATAAATCTTTTGTGTCTCGTACAATCGCTCAGGAAGTCAGAAAGTGGATGGAAGAAAACAGCAACATCAGAAGAAATGGTTCGAAAAGTAAAGAAGCGACTTGATCGAAAAATGGCTCTTGAGCTGAATATATCGCAATATTCCATTCGGCAAATATTGAAGAATGAGCTCCGGGTAAGGCCTTTGAAATTCCAAAAAGTGCAAGAACTTACACCGCAACGGAGAGAAAATAGACTCAAAAGAGCTAAAGTGTTGCTTCGCTTGGACGAAAGTGGTGAACTGCCGAATTTGGTTTTCTCCGATGAGAAAATATTCGTTGCCCAGCAGTTTGTAAACAATCGAAATGATCGTGTTTACTTGCCAAAGAGGTCAGCTGAAAATGTGCATCTTCGGTTGGCCACCAGAACTCAAGCGCCGGCCATGGTGATGGTGTGGGCCGCCATAACTGCCGATGGTCGCTCTCCCCTCGTATTAATCGACGGTGGTATCAAAATAAATGCCGAATATTATCGTTAAAATATTCTGGAGGGCGCATTAAAGCCTTGGGCACGCAAACATTTTAGCCGCCGACCTTGGACATTCTAACAGGACTCAGCACGCGCCACTCAAGAATGGTTATAAAATGAGGTTCCTCGCTTCATTTCCAGCGCACAATGGCCACCAAAATCTCCGGATACCAACCCGTTGGTCTATTGTGTCTGGAGTATTTTGAAAAGCAAGGTTGGCACTAAAAATTACCAAAGTGTCGATCACATAAAGCAAGCGCTTCGCCGGGAATGGGTCAAAATACCCCAGAGCAACATTCGGGCAGCGTGTGACGGTTTCATTGGACGTTTTAAGGCCATAGTTCGACCAAACCCCGGAATGTAAACATATTATAGATAATTTGTTTGTGAAACCCCTTTAGAACATTTGCTTCTAGGAGATCCTCTATAACTAGGTCTTTTATGGGTCTATTATATTCAACAGGTACCTAGACACCACGCAGTGGACTATAAGTCCAATGTACCCATATAACCTTCCCACAAAACATAAACCTAGCCATCATAAATTCATCATTTGCTCCAGTTTTAATTTGAAATAGGCATGAAATAATAAGAAACAGCAACAACAATAACAAATAAAAAGCTCAAGTCACTGAACTAACGACGTTCACACACAACAGTAGATGTTCACACAAACGCAAAACTTGTCATTGTACTCAACAACCAACAACCAACCAACAAACAAAAACAAAACATTCCTACCTAGTTTGTGTTTTTGGTAAATAAAACGATTTAGTTTCGCAGAAAAAAACGCAATATTTTCTATTGTTTTTGTTTTTGGTCTTCTTTAATTTTTCCTTTTATTATTTTTGTCTCCCACAAAAAAGTAAAGTGTCTGAGAACCACACACACACACACAATGTAATAATAATTCATGGTCGGCCGGCAAAAAACAAGAGAGCTAGCAAAAAACAAAGACAATGTGTAGTTACATACATATGTAACTACCAACAAAAAACACAACCTATTTGTTGATTGTGTAAAGATGTTTTCATCTGCAGAAGACATACAACGCACATCCATTCATATATAGCTGCGCTACATGCCGATTTAAGAAGAAAAATAACAACGACATGACAACCGAAAAAAACCTAAACTAAACAAAACAAAGAATGAAAAGAAAACAAAAGTCCACAAACAACTACAACAAGAAACAGCACAACATAGGAAGTAGTAGAGTAGTACGAAAAAAAATAAGCCATGTGAAAAATATACCCACACACACAGAGACACATTGCAAAGACGACGACTAATAACGTGGTTTTGTTTTGATACAAAATTTTGTTGTTGTTTTCGTAGCTTTTTACAGTAAATAAGAGCGCGCGGATGTGATCAAGTGAAAAGAAACATCAACAGAAGGGAAAAAAACGAAACCCAGAGCATTAGTTACAAGAGAGCAGTTTTGTGGGAGCAAAAGTGTGAGAATCAACAAAAATGTAAATGGCAAGGCCATTGAAGAGGCGAGGCCTTTGCATAGACAAACATTACAGTTGGGTACAAACAATCGAACACATATTGGCAGTAAGGAAATTTATTTTGTTTAAATTACAAAAAAAAAATCCCTGTTATTCGATATCAACAAAAAAGTGAGAAACACAGGACAAATGAGCTTTTTCGTGGGAGCAACCCAAATCAAAAGAAATCAATGAAAATGTAATGCATAACCATCATTTAAAGTGGGGTAAAAACTATCGATATGCAAGGTCATAGAAAAAGGAAGAACACAGTAGATCCACAAAACAGATAGGAAAGTTTACGTAACTGTGGAACACATTTGATAGTAGGTCCGTAAATCGAAGGGAAAGTTTATGGTTTATGGGAGTCAAATGAATTCCACTTTTTTATCATCCCACATTTCTATCCAACAAATTTTAAAAGTGTTACTTGGGACTAGGAATATATTTAAGGTGTGTTTCGCAATTTCCTTCACATTTCTTGTATTTCGATATTGTAAAAAGAATGGTAGCTACCTAATTTATATAAATGTTACAGAGAATAAATGTTCTATTATAGGTATATAAAGTTTGTCATTCCGTTTGTAACACTTCGAAACATCCATTTTTGACCTTTGAATATTTTTGATTAGCATAAAATTCTATGTTGATTTAACAATGTCCGTCCTATTTCGCATACGTGTCTCTAGTTAAAACAAGTAAAAAAAGCTGTAATTTTCAAAAAAATAAAATTTGTTAAAAATTGCGCATCACAAATATAGGGGGGTACTATTATATGGGGGACACTCCAAAGTGGAGACCTGCACAGACAATTTTCTGCCTTAGGCTGCAGTATCCATTACGAACTTCAAATAGCAAATTTGAAACAATTCCGGTGATTAATGTCGCTAAAATCACCAAAATACCGAATATCCGGTAGTACCGTTATATAAGGGCTATACGAAGACGTGGACCTGCACAGACAATCTCCTCTCAAATGCTGTAGTATCTATTACGAACTTCAAATACCAAATTTGAAACAATTCCGATGAATAATGTCGCTCAATCAACCGAATATCGGGAGTTATCGTTATATGGGGACTATACGAAGACGTGGACCTGCACAGACAATTTTCTGTCTTAGGCTGTAGTATCCATTACGAACTTCAAATACCAAATTTGAAACAATTCCGGTGAATAATGTCGCTAAAATCATCAAAATACCGAATATCGGTAGGTACCGTTATATGGGGCTACACCAAAACGTGGACAAACGGACATCGCTATACTTTGTGGGGTTTAAAATATATATTTCGAGGTCTTACAAACGGAATGACAAATATAATATAACCTCTATACCATGAAGGGTATAAAAATAATGAAATCGCAGATGGCCCAAAAAGGCCCTCATGAGAGGCTTGAAAAACCTTCAGCTTCACAACATCGACCATTCATGTATGTTTAAACGGCAAGTTGCAACTTGTTTATCACCAACAATCACCAAGTCTATGTCGAATAAGATAAATATTTTATTCTGTTTTTGCAGAATTAACGCGAAAAGAGCAACGAAACATTAACGTACCGCAAGTTTGTAAATAAAAATTCTTCCTTGGTTACTTGTTTCCATTTTTTCATAAAAAGGCGGTGGATTCCCCTACTTGGGTGAAAAGTAATTGAATGGTGTGCAATAATAATCAATTTCCCTTTCCTTTCATATAGGAAGCGATTACAGCAACAACAATGAGATGACATGCACCATAAAATTCATGAGCCAAACAGACATAACTTTGCTCTCTTGATACTGTATAAATTTCTGAACTGACACTTCTGTTTTTTAGAAAATAATTGCATGAATTGTAATAAAAAAAGGTTGAATCCCCCACTCTTCTTACCCATCACATTGGGAACAACAACGACAGAACTATAGATAAATAAATGTCGAGACGGAGAAATGCATTTGCTGAGTATGTCAAACTACTAGCCGACCGTCTTTCAAATGCCAATACAAGTTTTGAAATTATTTAATAAACAAAAGACTGCATGTGGTTCTAATACATTTCCAGTTTACCGGATTCAATGAACCGAATGGATTTATATTGTCAATGTCGTAATACATAAGACAAATAAAAACTCCAAGTTTTATTCTGAAGCTACAAACTTAAATAAAAAAAATTAAACAACAAAATTGTCAAAGTTTTCTTAAAAATTACATTCGATTGATACTGAGTTTTTTGTTTGATTCACTTAACCGCGCTGTTGCTGAGTTCTTCTTCCTCTTTACATTCATTTGCCTATGTTATGCACATGCACTATAACATTTCCTGAGTTTATAAATAACAGAAATAAATGGGCTCTCTCGATATATTTCCCCTATGCATTTGCCTAAGAGAGAAACATGCAGTAAGAGTAAAAGAGACAGTGCATTATTCTCCTGCTGTTAACAGTTAGTTGTTTTTTTTTCGTTTTCTTTAAAAAAGTGGTGAATAAAATTAACGAATGAATGAGTAAAACATAACTGGAAACAGTTTAGCCGTTACAGCAATTCAAAATTCTCCAAATGAAAGTAAAAAACCAAAAAGGAACAGCAAAAAATATAGTTCCTCATTCATGTGTGTGTGTGTTCTGCTGCTTTTGTTTTTGTGTCGTGTGTGGTGAACCAAAAATGTATGCAGAAAATACACACATACACACATGTGGTGGTGGTGTGCTGCTCCTCATCTCTCAAGTATTAATCTTTGCAATAGAGCAAATGTCATTTATTTGACCGGCAAATCGGCAAATCAGTCGAAACAATAGAAAATAAACAATACAAAAGATAAAATATAAATAATACATACCGCATATTTATTAAGGAATCCATCGTGAAATCCACTTGAATATTCTTCCAGTTCGAACATTTTATTTTCTTGCGCGTTAGGCAGGCGGTTGGTTCCTTTTGTTCTTTGTTTTAAAAGGTTTCCCTTCTCTTGGCTCCTTGCCCCTGAGACAATTACTTCTTCTTTGTGTTAACGTTGATATTTGGGAGATCTTCACGGAATATGTAATTTAGTTTTTTTGTTTTTGTAACTTAATTGCGGTATATTATTACATACATGTACATTAAATATAAAGGGATGTATACACACAAAAATTTGCAAAAAAAAAACGTAATGCCTTTGTATTTGTAATATTTAACACAAATAATATTTCTTGGATTATTTTGCTTTGGTATATTCCATAAAAAGAAATCACTTTTGCCAGACAATTTTTATATATCCGCCGCCTTTTGATTAGAAACACTGTCCGTAAATCTTTCGTTTCGTTTTTTGCGCGCAACCTCTCTTTTCTGATTTTTCCGTTTATTGTGTTGACACAAAAAAAAAAGAACAAACGAACGAACAAATCGCAATTTGCCGGTAGGTATTGTGCTAAAAGCCGCCTTGGATTCAATTTCTTTTCATTTTTCAAACAAAACAAAAAAAAACGGGTATGAATCCAATTATCATCATAAACACCAGGCCCAAATGGAAATATGTTATTCTTTCCAAAGAGACTTGTCAATATTTCCCGCCTAAGTTTTTGCACACATTTTTACTTCTGTTTTGTTTCTAAAATTGTGTATTTATATTTTCTTCTTAGATTCGATTCTTTTTTTTTCTGTCTTCTTTACAGAACGCAAAAAAATGTGAGCCCGACTCCGACGACTTTCAACAAACCACACACGACCACTCTCTCTGACAATCTGATTGCTCTCTTCGTTCGACAACAACATCATGCCGTCGTTCAGCACACAACATTTGAAAACCAGGTATGAGATGATAATTTCTACGAAAGTGGTGGAAAGTAGGAATCAGTAATACAACTGCGAATGGTGGAATGAAGGAAATAAATGTACACAAATTTTAGCGGAACTGGCAACACTTATGTAAAATTTATTTAAATGTAACGTTTGCTTGTGAAGAACATGGTGAAATATACTTGCATGGTAGAAGAATATAGGTAGGCGCATCGAAACAGCTGCTTGGACAATAAACTGTCAAACCAATTTTGGAATTGAAAATGTTGAATAAAAAATTATTTTAATTTGTATAAATCAGCATTACATTTATTTTTAACCTCTTCTACCTCCTATCTCGATTTTCTCTCAAAAATATGATCCAAACTGTTCAATCTTTTAATATCATGGCTAAAGTGGTTAATAGCTTTAAAGCGCGAGCCGCAATGTACGTGTCTTCCAATCATTGGTTTTGAAAATATTTTTTTCATTTTTCAAAACAATAAATACATACACAACATTGGCGGAAGTCGGGCACACTTAGAAAAAATTGGAATCAGCTGGCAGCTCTACCTTATGTTTTTATTGTACCATGGTGACATCGATACAGCTGCATGGACAATGAACTGTCAAACCAATTTTGAAATTGAAAATTTTGAATGAAAATAAATTTAAATTAATTAAAATAGTTGAAAATGCAACCTCCGATTGGCGTCGTATAATATATAAAAATCTACCTATTTTTGAAAAAAAAAAAAAAACATATTAAAATTTTTGACATATCAATATTCCTAAGCCTTGATGTATCTACCTGTACTCTTCTACCATGGTATCGGGTATGAATTCGTATTTTCCTGCAATTGCGTGTTGAGTGACGACCTCATATGACAATATCAAAAAGCATTAAACTTTTAATGGGTTTAAATGATTACAATTAGAACGGAAATATATCATGGCCCATGGAAGAAGAATACAGATAAATTCATCAACGCATGGTAACTTTGACATTTCAAATTTTTTAATGTTTTTTTTTTTTTTTTTTTTCAAAAATAAGTAGTTATTTATATGTTTTCTTATACGACGCCAATCGGAGGCTGTTGTGATATGCATTTTTCCACAATTTTCACGAATTTAAATAATTTTTCATTCAAATTTTCAATTTCAAAATTGGTTTGACAGTTCGTTGTCCTAGCAGCGACTACCTGTGTTATTCTACCCTGTCATGGCCCATGAAGTAAATGTTGATGTTGCTATCACTTTACTTTGAATACCTATCAAAAATATAGTCGAACAATCGACTATAGATGGTGTCCCGGGTCCGCCCCGGGCCGCACTCTCTTCACAAAATGGATTAAAAAATGAAACTATTGGTGTTTTTATCACTACTGTCTTGCTGGATACTTCATATGTTTGAGAAGCTCTACGGTATCACTCTTTGTTATTGAAATCCAAACATCTCCTATCTAATTTTTATGGATTATAAGGGCTTTTTTTCTGATTCAAGTTTGTGTACCTTACACAATCTTTTGAATACAATTTGTTACATTTGTTACTTTTTCTCTTATTATCGAACCTCTATTGCCGTAACCATTGACTTGACCCAATTTAGCCATCGTTAATTTTTGCAACATCTTCCAACTCTTGACACCCACCATCACACTCGATCCCTTTATAGATCTTTACCCTCACCCTCTTCATTGTGTTCACAAACATTCTTGATAAAATAATTTACCTTGCAAAAAACATATACAATAATGGATTGAATCATATAACCAAACGTTTATTTTAATAATTCGAATATAACATAAAAGGGATGTGCAAGGGGTGTATAAAAAAACACACAAAAGCGCACATGTATATAAAATTAGAAAAAAGGAGTATAAACAACGAATTTTAACACAAATATGCAATTTCAATACAAACAACGAGTATAAATTTCGTAGGAATATGGCATCAAATAGAAAATAAACGTCCCTATCAAACATCGCTATCTTTTAATAATTACTATGAAGTGGTCGGCGCTCTCGTAGCTGTAACATTTCACGTGTTGTACTGCGTTTAATATCGGCACGGAATAGAGCGTTCTGTTTAAAGTTATAACCACTGCAGTGGGGCATATTCTGTTGTTTTTTAATAGCACGAGTCAATTGGGAAGCCCTTGTGCCGGGTATTTCCTCTTCAACAAACATTCCCGACTGGGTCCACTGTGGTTTGGGGAATGTTTTCTTTTTGGCTTCTTCAATATTCCGTTTACGCTTGCGATCTTTCATCGCCACAGGAAATTGTGGTGTATCAAGAGCTGAAAATTGTATATTAAAACCATATGGAGTGGCGGGACTTTCATGGAATTCCATGCCATTACATGTAAGGATGGTCCGCTTAGTTGGTGTTATGGGTTCAACACAAACCTTGCCGGTTGGCAAATGTATAACTTCTTTTGGTTTCTTTTTCTTTTCGGGTGTTCGCAATGTTTCAATGACTTTACCAGCTGCAGTTGCATAATTTCGCAATGGTCGGCAATGTTCATCAAGAGGAGCTGTATTAAAATTTAAAAATATTAATTTTAGGGTTATCTAATACACGATCTTTTCCAAGCCACTACTACTTACTTTTCTTCGATTTCTTTGCTTTGCTTTTAATACTTTCGGCCTTATCATTATTGTGCATAATATTAATGTTATTATTTTCCTCTTGGCTGTCATCTTCTTCAATCTAAAAAGAAAAAAAAATACTAAATAAATAAAGTTTGTATAAATTTGTAATTTGGACTTACAATTTTTATTGGTTTACCAATTATTATATTAGCCGAGGCTCTCAAAGCTCGTTTTACCGCACTGGCCCTTTTGACCTTATCTAAAAGATAAATAATTCATAATTCCAAAAAATTCTCCTTAAATTGCATCAATGTCGGCTCACTTACCTTTTCTTTTAAAATCCTTACTCAATGGAGCAAATATACGTTCCTTCTGCTTAGATTCTGGCGATGATGAAAGTCGTTGTATGGCTTTTTTCTTATTCTTTTTGGGCATCTTAACCTTACTCTGAAAATAATAGAATAATCACTTTAGGGGGCTAGAAGATCGAACAAAAATTCTAATTTTCAAACCTTTTTGTAATTCAGCTTAGCTTCGAGTTTGGCACGATTGGCTGCTTCCAAAATCTCATCACAACGATTCAATATACGACGAATGCTATTATCACTTTTCTCCGCAACGTTAGCCTTCTCGTGGGGAGTTGAACTATGTTTAACTTTAGAGCTACTGTTTGCCTTAGAACTGCTTAGGTTTTCAAGTGAATCTACAAGACTGCCATCAAGCGATAGTTTAGATCTTTTATGTAGATGTCTCGCATCCAAATCAATTATGCTAGCATCGAGGCCTTCAGAGGTAGCACAAAAACTCTTTGATAGACGCTTTCTTTTAGTCGACTGACCATCATATTCAGCTTTACGTAATTCCAAACTGTGAACAAACGACTGCGATGGATTGAATTCATTTCCCGAGAGAACAGCCAAACTTTTACGTTTGGGTTTTTTGGCGGGCATCGCAATGCCAAGAGAAGAGTTACAAAGTTCTATGTCAGGATTGGTGGGTAAGGCCAGAGATTGCCGTTTGGTGCGAACTAAGGGATTGCCCAAGGGCATGGGTTTATAATTTTCCAAATAACGTATGTCTTCGGTGCTCAACACACCAGTGGTATCATCGGTTTCTTCATCATTGGCCGAAGATGAGGAAGAGGGATTGGCTGAAGCATTCGACTCCTCAGAACAGGGTTTGGCCTCAATAACAGCGGTGTCCACTTCGCCACCACTAATTCGTACACCTATGGTAAATGAACGTTGTAGAACTCTTTTCTGTAAAGAGTCTTTCTTTTGTGACTTAAAGTGGCCAAAGGAAACACTTAAGCCCCGGTTGTGATGCTTAACTTTATTTGCCGCCGTTGACTTTCGTTCACTTTCATTTTCTTTGGCCTCATTTTCCATATCCGAATCATCATTGTCGCCTTCATCGGCCATTTCTTCATCCTCTTCGTCATCATCATCATCAGCATTGGTTTCCTCTTCCTCATTTTCCGCATCTTCTTCTGAAGAGTTAACACGCATTACAAGAATACTTGAATTTTTGCTGTTGGTATGTTCCTCCCCTTCGCTTTCTGCTTCATCATTTTGTTTCTTTTTGTTAGGCAACTCATTTTCCTCTTCTTCTCCATCTGCCGAAGACTCTTGCTGTTTCTCTTCGACATTTTTATCAACTTCAGGCGAGGCATCAACATCCGGGTCTAGATCCCTTACCGATTTATTAAAACGGTCCGACTGATTGAGTTTACGTAAAATTTCTTTACGCGACTTATTGGTATCCTGGTCAGTTGATGAAGACTGATTCTCATCTCCATTGCATTGCAAACGTAAAGCAGAATCGCTTAATTTGGAGTTATTTAGAGAATTATTTTCAATGTCTTTTTCATTGACTTTGTAATCAACAGAATTCTCTTTGTCCAAATCTGGTTCGGGCTCCTCCTCCGAAGAAGAAGAATCATCATCTTGAGGACGTTGAATACGTTTATAGGATTTCTTCTTTTTGCTATCCTTGCTATGTTCAAGTTCATTTGCATCGTCTTCCTCTTCTTCATCATCACTGTCCGTATTTTCTTCCTCTTCTTCATGGAGACCACCATCTTCCAGCTCATCATCGGAAACAATAAATGAATCATTTTCACTTTCCTCCTCATCTCCATCATTATCTTCTTCATCTGTGGTGTGACTGCCTATGGATTCCCCATCAACAGGTATTTCATTTTCCAGCATTTCACGCCTTTCCTCTGAATCCATCGAATCGCCACTTTCATAATCATCAGCAACCATGGCTTGATCATCATGGAAGGAGTGTTTGCGTCGATATGGGGCTTCGACATCTTCATCATCATCTAATAATGCTTCGTCTTCGTCTGCTTCATCATCATCGTCTGCAGCATCTTCATCATCGGAATTCCATTCGGCACGTTTTAGGAATTTTTGCTTTTTCTTTGCAGACTTTTCCTTGGTTACTACGGTTGCTTCTGATACTGGTTTTCTTTCAGAGGCTATGGTGTCAAGCTTTGCGTTTCCGTCGTTTTTGTTGGTAACGCTTGGGTTGCACCATTTTAAACTGGTTTCTTTATCTTCATTTCTGGTGGAAGAATTGAGAGATTTCTTAGCACCTGAATCGGATTTTCGTGTGCTTGTGTTTAATTTGGAAGAATCATCTTCGACTGATTCATTTCTTCTGATGGAAGAGTTAAGAGATGATTTGAGATTTGAGTTTGATTTTGAAACCTCATCTTCTTCTAATTTATTTTCTGAATTTTCGGTTTCTTCATTTTTCTGTTTTTCATCCTCTGGTTTTTCATCATCTTCCATGGTTATGTCTTCCGTTTCCATTTCATCTTTAGGCTCTACAAAGGAAGTCTTCTTAGCGAAAGACGAATGGATTTTTTCTACTTGTTGTTGAGTTTCTGGAATTTCCTCATCACTGGCGTCATCTACGCTTACAACAGAATCATCCCCATCACCACCTTTGAAAGAACTATCCATTTCGATAAAACTTTTACTTTTAGCACTGCCTGGTGTCTTGGGAAAAATACTTTTTTCACATTCATCGTCTGAGGCAACCGAATTAAATGCAACCGATCTTGTCTTAGTTGAGCTCTGCATGGGTGTTGCAATTTGTACCTTAGACAAGGATTTGTTTTTCTTGGGCGAAGGAGTTTTGCACATTTCTTCGGTTTCTGGTTCTTCATCATCATCATCCTTGTCCATTGGCTCATTTTCATTTGGCTCGGCTTGAACTTCATTCGTCGATGGAACATGTTCATCCAGAATTTCATCTTTAACTGAAACATTGTTGGAAGTTTCCTCAATATTGCTGTGCATTTCATCTGGATTAGAATCGCTAACCTTAGGCTTAAGATCAACAACATTGTTTGCAATATCATCATTAGTTTCCTTGGAATTGCTTATAGTTTCCAGTTCAGTTGTAGCCTCTTGAGTTTCGGGTACTATTAGTGATTGGTCATCGTCTTCATCCATAGGTAAAACATTGCACGATTGATCCAAAGTTTTGTGGGCAGAGGATTGCTCGTTAATTGTCTCTGCCGCAGTACTATTTTCTGGATCTCCATCAACTTTTTCTTCATTTTGGTCTGAAGGAGTAAAAACTGCTTCACTTGGCTTTTCTGCGGTTTGTTCTTTCGATTCTAGCAGTTCATTTGTATTTTTAGGATTCTCTTCATTTTGTACATCCTTTTCTTGTCCCATTTCTACTGTCTTGTTCAATTCTTCTTCGTTCTGTAGATCATTTGGTTGGTCTGCTTTATTTTCTACTTGCATTGGGGTTTCTTCTTTTTCTGTGACTTCCATTTGTGGTTCCTCCAATTGAGTTGTAGCATCGCTCTGCTCCTTTTGCTGTTTCTGCTCTTCAATATTTTGAGCATCTTTTTCGGTTACAATCTCTTTATCTTTGTCTCCGGATGAAGTACTCTGTTCTAGCTGCTTCTCAGGTTGATCCTCTTTGGCAATATTGGATTTATCTTGTTTATCACTTAATGGATCAATATTTTCCTGTTGTTCCATATCATTGATTTTCTTTGTCAGCGACTTATCTCTACTTATGGAAACCCTTAACATTTTTTGTGGTGATATTTTATTTTGAGTAGCTCCAATCTTTTCTTGCACAATTTCATTTTCAACTTTTGCCACCGATAACCCCCTCAAAGATTTCCTTGACCCAGCGGACTTGGTTGTGTTTTTGGTACCTGGCTCAGTTTTTATCTGTTGTGGAGATTTAGATTTCGATCTTGTTACCCTTGTGGTTTCCTGTTCCTCAAGTAAGGTATCAAAGTTTGGAGCTTTTGAACCCGGCGGTTGCGTGGGCCCATCATTTTCAACAGATGACGTGCTGCGGCGTCGAGTTGTACGTCTGGCTGGTGAAGCTGTGGCGGTTTTAACATCTGTTTCAGTTATTGTAGCAATAGCAGCGGCACGCTTTGCTGGCGTTTTAACCGGAGTTGCAACACCCGATGTTGAATTTCGGCGTGTCATACGTGGTTTCAAGGGCGAATCGGTGGACATCTCTGAAAATAAAAAAAAGTTAAAATGAGCTCTGGCATAAAAAACCATGCATGTTTGTACGCCACATACTTGTATTTGCCGCTATTTTGCTTTGTACTGGCGTTCCAGGCCTGCTGGAGTTGTTATCGCTATCAATCGATGTAACACGCTTCCTCAAGCCACGCGTCACTGTAAAAAAAATAAAATCATAAAAAATACATTAGATTATTCCCATGCAGCAGCCTTTCATTTTAAATGCAACGGTTCTTTTTTAGCACACATACACACAGCACACATTCACAAAACCGAAGAAAAATGTGCATTGCTTGCAGAAATGACATCTTTCAGTCAGTTTTTACATACCTCGTCCTCCTGAATCCGTAACTGTTTCCATTGTAAAATTATTTATTTCCGAATTTATTTTAAAATTAAACACAAATGTTTCTACTCCGTCTAAAATCTCTTGTGAAATCCCACTTAGTTTCCTTAGTGCACGCCAATAAACATCGGAATGTGTGCGAAATTCAAAAACGAGAAACGATTAAGACAACTGAGCCGAATGCATTGAACGGCGTTAAGGACGCCATAACATTAATCAGAGATGGAAAATTCAGTACTCAGTACATAATGTTTACACGAGATGCACTCTTTGGAAAAACAACTCTAAATCACACAATAACTCTTAGTAATAATATATGATAAGCAATTAAAAGCGATAAATTATGAATTAAGTAACTTATAATATCCTCCATCATAAGATGAAGAAAATGTTCCAACCATGGTACAATAAGGAGGTAGAACAGAAAAGATAAGCACACTCATGGTACAATAAAAATGTTGATTACAATTTTTTCTAAGTTTGCCCGACTTCTGCCAATATTGTGCACGTATTTATTGTTTTGAAAAATGAAAACAAAATATTTTCAAAACGAATAATTGGAAGACACGTATATTGCGCCTCGCGTATTAAAGCTTTTAACCAGTTCAGCCATGAAATTGAAAGACTGGACAGTTTTTCGCGCTATTTAACTAATTTTAAAAATGAGGAAAAATATGAAAAAAAAAATGAAAATAACTTGTTGCATATAATTTTGAATTAGTCTAACAGGAAGCGGGCATAGCCTCAGATCTGTGTTTCTGTAGATTAATGAAGCTGTTCTACCTCCTTATTGGGCCATGAGCACACTTACATGGTTGGAACCATGGTACAATAAAAAGGTAAGGTAGAGCTCCCAGCTGATTACAATTTTTTTTAAGTGTGCCCGACTTCTGCCAATTTTGTGTACGTATTTGATGTTTTGAAAAATAAAAATAAAATATTTTCAAAATCAATGATTGCAAGAAACTTAAAATGCGGGATGCGTATTAATAATTTTAACCAGATTTGCCATGGAATTGAAAGATTGAACACTTGCGAACATATTCTTGCGAGAACATTCAGGCATTTCATTCATCTTTCGCGCTATTTGACTCTTTTTAGAATTGAACAAAAAATATCAAATAAATGAAAAACACTTGTTGCCTATAATTTTGAATAATTCTGACAGGAAGCGGGCGTAGCCCCAGGGCTGTATTTCTGTACTTTTATGAAGGTGTTCTACTTCCTTATTGTACCATGGTTGGAACCATGGTGCTATGAAGAGAAGATAGGCCAACTTTGAAAAAATTGCAAGTATAGAGGTCTACCTGTTTGGCTTGTAATGTCAGAATTAGTATCAAAACAATAACAAATCAAACAACTTGTTGCATTTATTTTGAATGGTTAATTGAAAAACGCGATAAATGAATGAAAGGTCAACACTTCTTTTCAAAATCATGCACTATATATCTCTAAAGGATTATTTCGCTACAAAAACTCTAGATTTTGTCGATGCATACGTTGAAATAAACATTTAAAAAAACACTCGAATTTGAATATTTTCTGAACAATTTTTTTTGTTATTGAAAAGAAAACACACACATTATAAAGATGACATATTAAGCCAAGAAAATAAAAAAATTAGAATCATAGCCCTATCTTGATATCATTGTACCATGGTCGGACGTACAAATTTTCAAAATCGAACAAATCCACATGGACAGAACTTTTTTTGTGTTTTTTATGTTAAAAATTAAGAAAACAATTGCTCTCACTCCCGTAGGATCAATTTTTGTATGGTAATTCCAATTGAATAAGTAATGAATCCTGTTACTGTGGGTTAATCGGTATAAAATTGCGATATTAGTAGGGTATCTAAAATGTTTCATGAAAATGCGATATAATAACAAACTGCTGTCAATGCAATCTACATTATTCTTTCGAGTAATACACTCAAGAGAGCCAAGCTAATTATTGGTCTGACCAGAACTGCAAGAATGTAAAAATTTTTACTTCGATAACCAATTTCCCCTTTATTATATCGAAAAAAAAAATGCAAAACTAGAAGATTCTTGTAGGTTCTGGAACAGAGCATATGTTATACCGCCGTCATTATGTCCTTTAGACCGGCGTCGTTAACCTTTATCGAGGCTATCAAGTTGATAAAACAAATCGAAAATCGATTTTTTGTTTAATTAAAAAAAATAATTTATATTTCACTTCTCTTAAGGCTAACCATAAATGCTAATATCATTGCTACAAAAAGTTATATACAAAATATGTATGTTTCTTTCACCAAAGACCAACGAAACGTTAAAAAGGATGATACTCATAAGATAATAATCGATATCCATCCAGGAATCTATCGACATCATATTTGTCGTGAACAAGACGACTTATAGATCTCTGCTATTGAGGTAACGAAAGAGAGACGACGAAGAAAAAATAAATAAATTATTTTGTATGATTTTGTTCCCTAAAAAATTGTATTAATTGCAAGAAAGACGGCACGAAAGCGGAAAAGAACTCAACGAATACTACACAAATGTTAGTATGGCCACAGAGCAACGAATTTTAAAACCAGATGGTTATTTGGATGTAACTTGCGGCACATCCTCAAAATCGACCAATGCAAATTCTGAAAACACTGAAGCTGACGAAGAGGAATCCATTGAGACCCGCAGTATTGTTTATCATCCAAATTTAAATGTGATACTCGTCTTTGACAGCATCAATCAGGTCAAAGTACTCGATGTGCACTCTGGTGTGGTACTGCAAACTTACCATTTAGGCAATGGTAAGTGTTTTTTTCTTTCTTCTTTTTGTCTCTTCATATAGGGAAGAAGAATTTGTGAAAGACCCTTAGTTTTGGGATGTGTAATGTAGTGTCACAGGAGGAGAATCGTGCATGTATGTATGTGAGTCATGATATGTGGTGTAGTAAAGTTAAAATTGTTTTTTGCGATCACCACATAAAAAATACGAAAAAATTGTGAAATTATATTGAAAACAAGACTTTTTTCATTTTTTGTATCGGATGTGAAAAACATTGCACACATACACATGTGCGGGGTCGTAGTGAAAAATTCAGGTGTTTTTGTCCTGCACGAAAAAGAAAGTTCAATAAAACCTTTTTTTACTTGTTTACATACATATTTATTTTGTTCTTTTTCTTTGATTTATTTCAGATACCAACCACAATGTATGTGGCTATTTTATGCCATTACAAGAGAAAATCTTATTGACTGATGGTCATGTTATTGGCTTCCGGGGCGATTATAATGGTGTTTTGTTACTTGATACGGTGCTCCAGACACCAGTACCAAATAACGATGATCCCATACGCCTTGAAATGCTGCTGTCAGAGGCAATCATTTTTCAAACATGCCTCAAGGAGCTGGAACAGGATATCGAGTGTCCTTATGATTTACAAAATGAACTAATGGAGAAAATTAAAAATGCCCAAGGCAACTCGAAGAAAGGCATCAAGGCACAGCGGGTATGTATAAATGTTATATCTTAAGAGATTTTTTAAGGAAAACATGCTTATTTATGCAGTAAGTTCTAAAGCTGTAACTTTATGACAAAAAGGTATTTTCGAAAAATTTTTTTTCGAAAATTTGTCGTTACAATGTTACAAGTGAAAACGCCTTCATGGGATTCATATTCAAACGATTTATTTATGGCCTGTTCCAGAACTGGAAGAATGTAAAAGTTTTTACTATGATAACCGATTTTCCCTTTATGATATCAGAGAAAATTGTAAAACTTGTAAAATCTTGCAGGATCTGGAACAGACCCTTATCATATATGAGTAATTGAAATGATAACCCCACATTAACTCATTGAACCAATAGATTTTAAACCCAATTGTTTAAGTTTATGCGACCATTTTAAAATGTAATTTATTTTTATGCAAGTAAAATTTCCATATAAAGAAGCATCCCAAATTAAGTATTCTTATATTTTTATCTGGGTTCCGCAACTTTTTCTAGTCCCTTCTGGTGTTTGGCTTCCTGAAATTGCTTCCTTAAATATAAAGAGATTCAGTCACAATATGATTCTTATCGTGTTCTTACACTTCATGTTAAGTATATAACATACCTTCCGAATTTTTAAGTTGGCGAAATTTAGAACTGCCCTTGAAAGAAATTATTTTTCTATATATATTTATACATACATTACGTATTAAATATTATTAACGCTTCCTTTTTTTCTTCCAGTGGAATACAATATGTCTGCAGGTGCCTTATTCGAGTCTAAAATTTGTGGCCAATAATTTGGTTATAATGCTGAAAAGGCTTGAACGCCATGTACCAGCATTGGCCATTGCATCGGCCATAAATGAGAGGCTCATCGACCTGCTGGCCGGTGGACGAACATCCAATATCAGCTGGCAATGTAATAATTTTCAACGTGTCCTTATGCATTCGGAAGCGGTGCGTAGGCAAACATTTGAGAAATGGCCACACATGGACTATAAATGGGCGCTGCCCGATCAAATGGCCCAGGCGGGTTTCTACCATCAGCCTTCGTCGTCGGGCGAGGATCGGGCGATGTGCTTTACCTGCAATGTCTGTTTGGTTTGTTGGGAAAAAACCGATGAACCCTGGAGTGAACATGAACGTCATTCGCCAATGTGTCCCTTTGTTAAGGGCGAATATACACAAAATGTCCCCCTAGCTGTGACATATGCAACAAACCCAGCCGTTGTGGCTCCGGGCGTTTTGGGTTTTGATGTCATTTCGAACAGCGATTATGCCAATGTCTTGGTGACAAGTTGTTCGGCAACGGGCGAAATTACCATCTGGAGCATTGAAAGGCATTTAAAACAGATGCACACTTTCAATGTCTCATCGTTGATGAAAGATATATTGGGAGGAAGTAACGGCGGAATGACATCATCAAGCTGTGATGGATCATTAAATGAAGAAACTGACACTAGCTACGAATGGACTCGTGTCACAGCCATTTGTGTCCTGCCAAATACCAGAGCTCAAAGTAAAATTTATGCCATGAATTTAACACAAACTGGTTCGGCGTGCATGTTGGGCAGTGGTGTGGCCGTTGGAGGCAATTTACCACCACCTTCAGTTACACCCTGTACCTCCACATCAACAATGCGAGCTGGTGTGGTCGAATCCAAAGTAATACTTGGGCTAAGTACGAGAAAAACAACTGGAGAACATTTACTATCAATGGCAGTGTTAAATATCATTGAAAGTGATCGACCAAACGATGGCAATGGTCGGAACAAAACTGAAAGTGGATTAAATACTGCAGTAAGCTCAGCGGGAAATGTCAGCACCAATGTGGATAGTAGTAAGTCGGTATCAGCTTCGAACAGTGTTAAAGGTAAATATGGGTTTCAGGTATTTATATAAATACATCTGCCCTATGGCTACTTATCCCCACTATCCACTCCCTCTCACACCTTCGACCTAAATTTTTAAACAGATTGTGATTTCTTCGTAAATTTCGTTTGTTGTAATTTTTTTTATTGTGTTCATGTCTTATCCGAATATGGTCCACTCGTTCTGGCACATCTCCCAAAAAAGTAAAATGCAAATTGTTTCAAATTTCGCTTACTCGAGAAGACCCTACTGGTTCTTCCCTCTAAATAATTAAAAAAGTAATGAATTGTATCCTATTACGAAGTGTGTCCCCGATTTTGTCCGATGAATTGATTGTTACATTTCTATGACAGACCAAGCTAATAGCGAACTATGTCGATTTACTCTTTTAGGTAACTTCCTCATAAAGTGCATTCAATTCAGATATCTAAAATTGAACTCCTTCTGGTAGCATGTCCTGATTCTTTTGATCCTACCCCCGTTCTATCCTAGCGCTAGTTTCTTCATCATTTCCCCTAACCTTTCTAAAAATGCATACAAAAAAATTTATTTCAAATTGGAATTGTTATCCGAAATTTCCATTGGCATATCTTGAATTATGACTGGAAAAATTCTACAGATCTACCAGCATTTTCTGAAAATCTTTTATTTTTTGTAACATCATAACTCTGTTATTATATATTTATGTTTTATTTTGTGTTATGCGCATCATTATCGTCGTCTTCGCATCGTATATAGTAGCAAGCGGCGATCCTTCTTCATCAAACAATATTAACAACAACAACAACAATAATAATAATGAAACCCATTTGAATAAAAAATATCATGACGAACGTGATGACAACAAAACTCAATGTTCAATTTTTGACAAATATTTAGATGGACTTGATAGCAATGGATTTGTCGCCGATATAGTTCCAGCAACAACGCCTGAGGTTGTGGTGCCGGCCACATCAGCTGACAAATCGGATTCGGTGTTGGATTTTAATGATGCCTATCTGGAGGCAGAATTCAAAAAGATGGCCGAACAATTCAATGATTTGAATAGTTTATTCGACTATGAATATGGCCAACCGGTGGAGAATAACTCTTTGTCTGGTGTTGGCGGGGGTAGTGGTCCCAGCGTCAATGCTGATGACATGGAAATGGATACAAGCTATTTCAAAGAAAGTCTACTGACAGCGGCAAAGAATGTTCAAAAGACCAAGGCAGCCATGATCAATGATGCGACGGTGAAAACGAATAATTCCCCCAACCCTGAGGCGGGTGGTGGTGGTGGTGGAAATGGTGTGGCAGCACCAAAGACCTGTATCAGTGAGGATATCGATTGCATTGTGGAAAGTTGTTGCATACTCAAGCGTAGCAATGCTTTGAAAGGCGATTTCCAGCCAATGTCCGAAGATGAGCTTGTGGAAATAACCGAAATTTTGCCCACAAATAGCAACTGTAATCAATTGCTGGTGAAATTGGTCAAGACAAAGGTTCCGCGTAGCAGCCGTAATAAAATGATTATAACAGATGTAATGAGCGCCGAAAGTGTTGGGGAAGAGCGTGAGGATGATGACGATTATCCCATGAATGAAGAAGAACCCACAATTGGTGGTCAACTTTTGCTTTTCGATTGTCTAAATGGAGTAATACCAAATGAACACAAAATAGCCATGACATTCTCACGTCAAAATTATCCCAAACAAATATGTATGCTGCCAAATTTCCAAACAATTAGTATAGGCTCCGAGCCATCTTCAGTGGCAACAAATTCCGGAGCATTTTGTGTGGTTTGTGCTGATGGCACAATTGAAATTATATCGCTAGCCGATTTTCAAAGTATCAGTAGCATCAAAGAGGAGGAGCATCATTTTACTTCCGTGGCATATTGTCGTAGTTTGGAGCGTTTGTGTTGCTGTACCCGACGTGGTTCGTTGATATTCTATTCCCTGAATGATGCTGATAATGAGTCGGGAGATGAAATGATTGACATAGAAGAGGAGGTTGGTCCAGCGGCAATGCTGGGTAGCAGCATGAAAAATGACAGGGGAGTGGGAGCAGGAAATGGATGTTGTGTTACCGATGGTGCCACACCACAAAAGAGCAATGACCAGCAGCAGCAAGGAGGCGGTGAAGGTGCAACTGGAATAATGACAGAGGATTTACATAAAACAACCTCTGCCACATCGAGCAGCGGTTTCACAACTTCCATAAAAGTTGATTGTGGCACAGGCCTAAGTGGCGCCATTTCGCAGGCTTCACCTTCACCATCCTCGACATCCATGAATACAGCAGCAACATCAAATCTGCTTGCCTACCGTAGTGGCGAGTTATCGCTGGATGATTTACGCACCCTCTACTCTCTGACCCAGTTCGATGATAAAGTTGTTCCATACACAGCTGAGGTGCCTAGCTGTTGGAATGATCTCGTACAAGCCCAAAAACAGAGAAAGCAATCTCAACACACCTGGCGTTTACACAACGATGCGTAAGTTGAGCAGAAGGTCTCGATGTTGATGTTTATTTTTTAAAATGTCGCTTTATTTTTCAGGACTACTTGGGATGAACATATAATTGAAATAAATCTATTGGTAGCCGCTACCCTGGGTCATATTGATTTGAAATTTTCATTGTATCAACAGTGCCATAATCCAGCCGCCATTCAGGTGACTTTGTTAAAGCAAAACACCAGTGGTTTTGGTTATCGCATGAAGGGACCACATTCCAGTTTCAAACATTCATCAGCTGATGTTGGTGGCGGGTCAAATGAGCAGCCTTCTACCAGTACAGAAGGTAATGGGAGAACAAACAAAGTTGAAAACAGAACATTTTAAAGTAGATTTACATACAAATCTGTAGACGGGTTAAACCTGACAATTGACCAAACCAAAAAAATCCAATGAAAAACATACGTTTAATTTATTGGAAAGTATTGGTCACTGGTCGAGGTTAACCCGGGTAACGTTTTTTTATGTAAACACGTAGTACCCTTTTTTGAAACTTTCCACAGCTGATTTATTTTTGTTTGCTCTTAGGAAACAATGAGAATCCTGTATTGAATGCAGAATTTTTACAAACGCACAATGCTGAAATTCTAGCTGGCCCCATTGAACTATCCTCATGCATTGATTTGTGTGATCAAGGTGGCACAGTTATATTGACCTCACCCAAACTGTTCAAAACACGCACCCGAAACTTTTTACTACACATCAAAACAATGGGTGATCCGGCCAAGGATGGCCAGTGTAAAACTAGAGGTAATTACAACTTTCCTTCATTTCATGATTAAATTCAAAACTGAATTATTTTAATCTTTTGCAGGATGTGATTGGTTACATGAAATCTCAATTTATGTACGTGGTGTAAAGGTTCAATCCCACATTCCCAATGAACGTCTGCAACGCATTGCCATGTTGGAGAGTAATCAATTATTGGACAATCTCTTCAAAATAATAAGCAATGAAAAATCGTCCATGTTGGCACGAAATTATGCTCTCGACATATTAACATGGATTTGTTGTATACGATTGAAACGCTTCCGTTCACCCAAGTCGGAACGTCAGAAAGGCCAACCCATACTGGCCCAACAACTGGAATGTATTTGCCAGGCAGAAAAGTATTTGGAGAATACATTACGTTACTGCATTATACACAGCAATCGAAGTATGTCTCACAAATGTGTCAAACTAATGCTGATGTTAACAGAGTAAGAATGAAAAAATATCGTTCGTTATAAAGAGAATACATGTAAATCTTTGTTGTATTTTTTAGTGGTTTTTGTAATTTGCCAGCCAACAGTAAAGGCACTTCTAAGTTAGATGTTGCTCTGCGAAATGCAATTGCCACCACCTTTAATGAATTGCCATTCGCCAAACATGCAAGCGTGGTTCGTTGGTATGTTATGTTAGCATGCATTACATCGACAAATAAAACCTATAATAGCATATCGGAAATGTGTGTTAAACTCTTGGTGGATATATCGGAGGAAATCAAAAGACGCTGGGATCCATATGGTGCATTAATTGGAACCAGGTGAATAGAAATGCATTTCAATGAATTAATAGTTTAAAAAAACTTTGTGTATAATTCGTAAAATTTAGATTTGGCCTTTATGGATTTCCCTTTGAACCGGATATCTTTGACTATGATCTGCCAAATGTTAACAAGAACAATGTGAACTTCTCTTCAACGCTAATGAATATAATACGAAATAATGCCGGTTTGGTACAAGCGGCCGGTATTGACATCAAAAAATTGTGTTCAATAGGTAATGAGAGTAGTTAGAAATAGATCGTCTATATGCTAAATCTTTGCCAGGTCTAATCGTCAAACCAATGACCAATCAGAAAATATTAGGGAATCTTTCCCACAGTCAAATTTGTGATATTGTTTAACTATGAGGGTTAACTCGGAAAAAGATTTTACATGTAGACGTATTTTATTGCTAATAATTTTATATATTGTCAACTATCAAAATGAGTTTATGAGTCAGTCGTCGTTGAGCATTGACCGAGAGCGGACGCATCTAAGGAGCGTAGAGCATATTACATTTTAAACTTTGTATTTATTCCCAGAATTACTTTTATTTTTAAATAAAAACCATCTTGACAGAATCAGAAGTGGGATAAGAACAGAAATCTACAAGGAATTTCATCATTTTGGATAAGAATTGCAGAAAAATACTCAAAGAGCTGAGAAACTAAGGCGTCAAAGTGATGTAGTAGTGAAGAGCTCAATGCAAAGCAACAACGACGACCAAAGGAGAAACCACGCAAAGGCACCTAAACTCAAAAGTTCGAGTGAGTTTAGTGAGAGTGTGTAACGTGCTCAAAGAGAGCAAAGGAGAAAGCATCAATCAAAGGAGAATGTACAAAGGTATACTCAAAAGTGTGAGTGAGTAGGACAACGATAGTACATCAAGGAGATTGAAAGCAAGACATAAAGAGGGGAACCCCGAAGAAGAAGTTTAAAAAGGGAAAAGTTAACGTATATTTTTAGGGCGTGCGGCTTCTAAAAAAAGGAATAGTTCTAGATTTGCTGAAGTAACGAATTAAAAAGGAAAATTCACAAGGAAAAGTATGAAGGTGAAAATAAGTTCGTTAAAGGTTGCGGAGCTAGACAAATTATTACTGGCAAGAAGCTTACCACGAACAGGAAATAAGTCCGAGAAAATTGCTAGACTCATGGCTTGCAATGGAAATGACGAAGTGGAAGTTGAAGATTCAGAGTCACAGGAGGATTTCCATGGATTTGATGAAGCTGAGACGGGTGATGATTCTCTAACAAGTCAAATGCGAGAGCTAAAGGATATAATGTTGACTCTAGCAAGAAGTGTGCAACAGTTAACAACACTTTCAACAGAAAGGGCTATTACGTCAAATGCAGGGTTAAATTCAAGGGATACAGAACAGCAAGTTCCAGCTGAAGTAATATCAAGACAATCTGGTTCCGGAACATCTGGTTGTTTAAAGGATTACATAGTAATGATACCAGACTTCGATCCAATTAAAGTAAATGTTACATCAGTCCAATTCATTGACAAGGTTGAAACGTTGCAAAGGCTTCATGGATGGTCAGATGAAACAACTTTGTTTGCAGTTCATCATAAAATGAGTGGTGTTGCTAAAATGTGGATAGACGCTTTACCAGTGGTTGAAACATGGAAAGAGTTCAGACAACAATTTTTAAAGGATTTCCCAAGTCGAGTAAGTGTTGCTGACATTCATCGTGAACTTATAGCTAGGAAACGAAACTCGAATGAGTCTTTGGTGGAATATTATTACGCAATGTTGGCCATAGGGAAAAGAGGAAGCGTAGATGAGGCATCAATACTGTCGTACATCATAAATGGTCTCAATGATAGCAGCTTAACAAGAACACTTTTAGCTATGAACCCGCAGACATGTAGTGAATTATTAAGGTCGTTGGAGAATTTGACCATACAAACGTATGCAAGGAAGCAAACAAAGAATGACGAGGATGACAAAACCGTAAGTGTCTCAGGTGGAGCGCCAACCAAGGGAGTAAAATGTTTCAATTGTAACAGGTTTGGGCATATCTCAACTAGTTGCCCACAACCATTGAAGAAGCCGAAGTGTAGTAAATGTGCAAAGATTGGTCACGATGCATCGCAATGCAAAGGTAAAGGTACAACTGTGGCAGCAATGACAGAAGAGTCTAAGGATTACTGCCCACCGGTTATGAAAGATGTTACGGTCAATGGTAAGACATATGAAGGTTTTGTGGACACTGGAAGCGACTTTACCTTAATGCGGAAAGCTGTAGTTCCAGAGGGTTGCGATATGGAAGTAACGTCAAAAAGAATGAAAGGTTTTGGTGGATCTATTGTTGAAGTGGTGGAAATGTTTGAGACTAACGTTGTCATCGACGAGGAGAGTTTAATGACTACCATTTATGTAGTGCCGAATGACTTGATGCGATATGACGTTCTCTTAGGAAGAGACGTATTGTGTAAGAAGCAAACAAAACTTACAATTGAGCATGGTGTCTTGAAAGTGAGGTCAACAATGCCAAGTACATTTAATGTCGGAGAAAGTCTGGATGAGCATCAAAAGGAAAAATTAGACCAAATACTGTCGTCGTTCAAGGACTGTTTTGCTGAAACCCTTGAAGACCTTGGAAGGTGTAAAAATACACAAATGGAAATAAGTTTATCTACGGACAAGCCTGTAGTTGGTAAAAGATACCAAGTTCCATTTTCTCAAAGACAAATTCTGTCAGACATAATTGACAAGTTGCTTCGATGTTGTATTATTCGCCCAAGTGATTCGCCCTATGCAGCATCAGTATTGTTGGTCAAAAAGGCGAACGGGGAAAGTCGTATGTGTACGGATTATCGAGCACTAAATGAAGTCACCATCAAAAAGCAGTACTCGATGCCAGTGGTTGAAGAACAACTTTCGTTGTTATCTGGAAATAAGTATTTTACAACGTTAGACATGACATCAGGATATTACCAGATACACGTCAAGGAAGAATCCAAGAAATTCACGGCGTTTATAAAGCCAACCAGGAATACAAAGACTGCTCCGGTTATAACAGCGCTGCGAGAAGTTATGTCGATTTTCGGACAGCCACGAAGAATTGTATCGGATAAGGGAACGGCGTTCACGTCTAAAGAATTCCAACAGTTTGTGGAATACAACGGAATACAACATGTACAAACAGCAGTCCGAACACCAAGAGCCAATGGCCAAGCCGAGCGGATCAACCAGACAGTTTTGAATGCGTTGAAATGTCTAGTAGGTGATACAAAAGAATGGGACACTGAGACAACGACGATACAGTGGAGCATTAACTCGCAGCTGAATGCGACTACAAAGTTCAGTCCAAATGACTTCATATTCAACTTTAGTCTCAGAGATGTCAGTTACAATAGAATTATCCAGGCGGTTGGTGATGAAGAAAGAGAGAATTTCGATGTTAGGGTAATTCAACAGCAGGCTGTTGCTAACATCCAGAAACAAAAGGAAAAATGGAAAGCAAGATTTGACAGCCGTCATTCCAAGCCAACTCAGTACAAGGAAGGCGATTTGGTGGTGATAGACACGGTACCGCAGCCTACAGGAGAATCGCATAAGTTGGATGCGCGGTATAAAGGACCATACATCGTCACGAAAATTATCGGAAACGATCGTTATCTGGTAGAGGATCTGCCGGATTTAAGTTTGAAGCAAAGGAAATATTGCGGTGTTATGTCGACCGATCATATGAAGCCCTGGTGCTATGGTGATCCAAGTCTCGAAATCGAAGATAAAGATGAGTCTGATGATGGTTCGCCCAGGAGGGACGAAGAGTCAGGAGAGGCCGAATTGTCAACTATCAAAATGAGTTTATGAGTCAGTCGTCGTTGAGCATTGACCGAGAGCGGACGCATCTAAGGAGCGTAGAGCATATTACATTTTAAACTTTGTATTTATTCCCAGAATTACTTTTATTTTTAAATAAAAACCATCTTGACAATATTTATATTTTACTATTTGCAATAGATGGTGTTGATTTTCGGACTTTCCCACACTTGATTAAATGTAAAAGTGTTAGCAATCAATTGCGTGGTCTTTTGGAAGTGGAGCAATTGCATTTCAACTGTGCCGCAACATCGGAATCTACACGTATTGACAACATGGATACTGTGTCTTCTAGTGCCAGTACATCTAATGTTAATATGGATGATCTGCTGATAGCCCCCATGGTGGTTGAAACAGTAGAACATATGTATTCGGATAAGGTAAGATTGGTTTTCTATTCTATATTCCTGGATCGTTCTTACTTTTTTACTCTTGTAGATGAGTGATATACTAAATAATGTCAAAAATAAAGCCAACAATTTGGTGGACAAGACAAAACTGGAAAAGAAAATGGATGGTTCGGAAAGTGTTGACTTGAAGCCTAATGGAATTGGACGTAAGTATCGATGTTCGATGCCTACAAATAAGATTTGTTTTTTTTTGATTAATGATTTTTTATTTTCAGCCGTTGTAATTGATTGTGCTGCCAGTGGTTCAGGTGAAAAATTTACTGTCGAAGAAAAATCTTCTAAAATAAAAACAAATGCCAGTGGCGGCAGTGGAACAAGTGGAACTTCTTTACCCAAATTCAAGTTCATTTGTGAATACATTGATCAACAATTGGGTTCGAACGTCAAAGCAGTTGCTGAAGATAAGGACAAGGAAAATAAAGAGGAAAGTGAACAAACTACTGCCACAGGTGAAAAAATATCTGAAGGTGCTGAGAATATGAATGCAAACTCGTCTTGCTCCTCCAATGTTTTTCCATGGCACAAATTATTATCGCCACCATCCAAACAAATGATTGTCATTGAGCGAATGCATTCGGGTGCACGTCGCTTTGTGGTCCTAGACTTTGGTTCACCCATACTTTTAACCGATCTAATTATACCAGCCTGCGATGAATTGGCTTCATTGCACATTGATATTTGGTGTTTTGATGAGGAAACCGATTGTGTTCGTTTGGTTGTTGCGCCAGATATAGGTACAAAAACATTGGTACTTAGCGATATCCAGCCACCGCCGATTTGTCGTTACATGAAAATAACCATTATGGGACGAATCGGAATGTCATCGACAAAATGCAAAATACCTTTGGGTTCATTTTTCGGTCATGTCATCATATTGGAATCGGATGGTTATGGTGATATGTTTATGAAATACATGAGCCATAAGCCACAAAATATACAAGCTCAAATTAAGGCATTGTATTCGTTGCATGAAGATGTCCACTGTCGCTACAGTTTGGCCAGTTGTAAGCTGTTGGAATTATTGACACCTCTGCTCAATTCGGATGTTTCAAATGTGGCCCACATGCAGGCATTCATAAATAAGCAACGCAGTGAAGATGATACCAATACTACAATGGAAGGCGGAAGGATTACATCGATTTATGAGGTAAGTATTTTTTGAGAGAACAATTATAATATATTAACTTTATTTTATTTTATGCGCGCTTAGGAATGCATTGTTCTTCAACACGAAATCAATGTCATACGAAATGTCATCAATCGTCTGGAGTCCTCGCTGCAACCAAATGCAATTGATGGCAATGAACCCGTCTTGGATAATTCGCATGCTTTGCGTACAGCATCACGTGATAAATTAAGAGTTCTGGGTCAGGCCTTGATTGAAATACTTTTGAATTTTTCCATAGAGTACAGCGTAAAGGTAATGCAATACATATTTCGGTGGAGAATTCAAAATGATTGTAATATTTGTTATATATATTTTAGGATATGATGGCAATGCAACAACTTTTTACAGCCGATGTGGCCAACATGCTGTTCAATTCTTTTGTGGTGTATGGAGATGCACACATACAACTTGCCACTTGCTCACTTCTAGTTCGCATGTGTTGTGTTCAAAGTTGGTGGGGCGATTTTCTGGCCAATATTTTCTGTACATTATTCTCATCACAAAATAGTAAAATATTTCCACAGGATAGGTGAGATCACAAGGGCAAAAATATGCAATAGCGATTTAAATATCTTGTTTTTGCAGAATATTCTTTTTGCTCACCTATTTGGGCAGACGCAGCATATCCATGGGCAATTGTCGTTCCATTGTGATTGATGCAATCTTGAAAACACTGGCCAAACAATTGGCACCAATTTCACCACGTTATCAGGAGGCAACGGCCTCTGGTCTCAATATGTCCGATGCTGAGACATCATCTGTCGGCAGTTTATGTACAAAATCTGATTTACAGTTAATAACCTGGTTATTGCTATTCCTGTCGGTTTGTTTGGACGATAGGAAAGACAAATGTAAGACATATCGTCATAGGTTTAATAATGGTAAGAATAGTTTAGCTAACAATTCAAATCCCACAGCTGCCAATCGTTGGGACTTTATGAGTTGTGAAACGGATTTTGCCAAAACTCGAGGACAATCCTCAAACAGTTCGGGTAAACAGCTAAGATGTTTCAAAAAGCGTATTATCCAACAAAATAAGTACAGTGTACAACCATATGCCGATTGGGGCAAGAAAATCTATATGATACAAAATGAGGTAGAGTACAGATGAGTTTGGTGGAAAAGTTAATTTTTATTAAATCATAAAATTCTCTAGCATCCTGGTATATTTATGGAGATAACAGGCAAACCCAAATCTTCTAGTAAGAGCAGTAAAAGTAGCATGCTACCCAAGCCCAGTAAGGAGACACCACAAGAGCCAGAAAATAATTTTGATAAGGGTCTTAAAAATATACGTCTCAATAATATATTGATTGTTATACGGGGTCTCATTGCCCTGTTGCTGGAGATGGATTTCACCTGTAATATGGATCAATTTTTATTGACTTGCAAGGTAAGTTAAAGGGAGGCGACTCGAATACGAAAGAAAAACACAATACCAAATGAGGTTGTAAAATTTTTGTTTTTTTTATACCCTACAACACTATGTGTTGGGGGTATTATAAGTTTGATTGGGCCAGAATTTATGTAACACCTCGAAATATTGGTTTCCCATATAGGAAAGTATATATGGATCTTCCTAGCTCGCCGAGCTGAGTCGATCTAGCTATGTATGTCCGTCCGTCCGTCTGTCCGTCTGTCCGTCTGTCCATGTTAATTTGTAATCACTCTACAGGTCGCAATTATGGCCCGATCTTCACGAAATTTAAAATGTAGGTGGGGTTAAGGTCAGAATAGAACCCTATTTCTTTTGGAGATGATCGCCAAATGTTTAGGGGTTGAAATGGACCAAATACTGAAAAAATGTCGGATTTTGCAGTAGCTATACAGGTCGCAATTATAGACCAATCGACGCGGAATTTCGCATGTAGCTAGAGTTTAAGGCGGGGAAGAAGCCTACCAATTTGGGTTGTCATCGGATAATATTTAGCGGCTAAAATAGACCATATCTTTTTGTTGAAAAAATTCAAAATTTTTCATTAAACCGCGAATATTTTAAATCCCGGCGAAATCACAAAGCCATGACAAGGTTACTTCTGATCTTTACATTGATGTTAACATCCAACAAATCGGATATATAGCAAAATATGTGCGATATATATGTTTATCAAAGAAGATATGTTTGAAAAATCTCTTATATGTCGAGAACGGCTGAACCGATTTCGACAGTTCTCATTAATTCAGAATGGCCTCTTGACAGGAAAGAAAAAACGTCTAAAAAATCGCATAAAAATATCTCTCTAAAGATGAAAATATTGATTTTGTAAAATTTTCTCATATTTTTTCAATTTTGTCATATTTTTGGCATATTTTCATTTTGAATTAAACATTTGGTAATATTTCTACAGCTAACAAAACTAAGTAGTTAGGATATCAGGATATAATATACAGATCGCATTTATGGCCCGATCCTTACGAAATTTTGCATGGAGATGGAGATGATCGCCATATATTTAGGGGTTGAAATGGACCAAAAAACTGCAAAATTGTCAGCAGGTCGTAATTATCGCCCGATCCTTAGGCACATTTGAACGGGGGTTACCGGACATTGCAAAAGCCAATCAGTTTTGGATGGCCATCCAAAAATATTCAATGTGTAAAGGAGTTTGCCAACTTTTGTAGACAAAATACGAAAATGTCCATTCCAGTGACTTTTTGGAGAATTCACAAATACAGGAAAGACGCACTTCTGACTATTTCGTTAAGGCTGATTTCGTTGAAGAATATAGTCAAATGGCTGTATCTCATATAGATGTGTTTCAGTCAAAAACCAATAATAAATGTTATTTTTTTGCCACTTCTGAGAGATTATAGGTCTTTGGGAAATATTGGTTCCAGATCTAGGAAGACAATTTACGTGCAACATCTACCAATAAATTGGAAATGAGCAAATTAGTTTAAGTTGCTATTATTCGAAAATTAGAGAACTAAACCTGATGGTTTTCTTTTATTATTTGTCACAATATCTTGTGGAATTCTTTCGAGTATCTCGCCTATATAAACTGTATCGTTTATTGTAGTGTTGTAGGGTATTCAACGGTCGGCCCCGCTCGACTGTAGCCTTTGCTTACTTGTTTTATAGTGAAATTAAAAATTTGAAAAACACATTTGGAATTTTTTGTGAACTTATTAATTTTTAACTGTATTTTGTAGGTTATAGCTCGTTTGGTGTCTGCCTGTAGACCAGCGGTTCAGTTATCCAAAATTATTACCATAAATCAATTGGAACATTTGATACGTATGGCCGTATGGAATGATCAGCAACAACCATGGGCTGTTCATGCCATTACATGTCTTTTGCAGGTAATAACATAAAAATATGAAATTTGTAAAGCTGTTTTAAAATATTTCACGTTTTCCAGGATCTTTTGGATGCTGATCGTCATTATAAAGATAACGATGCCACACCCACAAATGATGGACAAAGAACTATGGATAGTTTCCAAGAAACAAAAGATCTTTTTGCTGATTATACATGTAAGTGATCGTTTTACTTTTAGTTCGAGTAGACGTTTCCTTTTATTTATTTATTGATTTATTGTTAGCACTCTACATGTCTCAAAATATGGGTCCCTCACAATCAACAAGTAGCGAGATTCCCTATTCGGACGGTGAGAGTCTACCAAATAAAACATATATTAAAAATATATAAAAATAATACCCCTTTTCATTACCTTCTCTTTTAGCTGTAAAATACCCATATTTACCATCGTTAATTGAATGTGAGGACACCGAATTTGATGATATATTAAATGATATTGATGTGATGGAGCGTAACAAAACCGTGACCAAAAAAGACAATACCAATATGAACAAAAATACTGTCAACTATTTTTGCAAATCAATATCTAGTGCTATGGATTCACGTTTAGATATTGGACTTGATTTAAATGTCGAAACCGATTTGAGACGTATAACAATGGTATCATCATTGGATATGTATTCATCGTTGCCACAAATTGCGGCAAGTGAATTTAAGACCACATCGCCAGAAGTTGCTGTTTGGCCAGATTACATAGCCGATATGTGGTCGGGACCGGAATATAATTGTGGTGTCAATACCTATACAATGTTTAAGAATGTTTTCGATTGTATACTGGCTGATTTACATTTGGAGGTAATAATAGTTTTTTCTCGGGCATAAAAATAAAAATTCATTTCGAAAACTCGTATCCAGAGCTGGAGGCAAATTCTCATTCGAAAATTTAAAATTTTTCTAATTTGGGCATAAATAAATTGATTTCAATCACAATTTTTTTCCTCTTCTTGAATTGCAGGAAACATGGGTCCATTTGGAGCAAGTATTACAAATGTGGCTAACATTAAATGGCGAACTGGCTGACAAACCCTACAGTGCTGGCATTTCAAATGCCGATGTACCAAAAATACCATTCGGTGCCAATGCAATACAGGGCTTACTCTTGGCACTGGCCTGGTATAACGATGTTAAAATACGAACATGGTGTTTGGGATTCCAGTGCCTGTTGCTGGCCTGCAATTCACAGACATTTGGCCAAGAAGATGCCGATCGAACAAGAATAAATGAAGTCATTGTAAACGATGAGAATTTTGAGAAGATGCTATTGCGATTTTTCTCTGGTTATGGCATGAGTTCGGTTATTATCACAAATCGTTGTGTAAGTTTGAAATAAATTCTATGTCTATATTGATTCTTGTTTAAAATTGTTTCTTTGTTCTTGAAGGCTGGTCCCACAATATGCAAACATTTGCATGAACTTTTACATTGGCTCCATCGCAAGGGAGAGTCCACGGATGGTGTGATATCGTGCAAGCGCAAGCTAAAGGATACTCTCTTGCATGTCATATTGCAACTGGTTCAACCCGGCGGTGCAATAAGCAATCAGTTGGGACCCATTGATGCCCAAAGTCAGCTGGTGCGTGATCTATTGATAATGCCCAATGATAAGGCTGATTTAAATATATCACTAAATATTATTGAATGTGTTTGTAAGTAGTAAAAACCTTTGGAATATTTGTTGGTAAACCAAATTCTAAACCAAACAATTTATTTACAGCATTTTTGGTTTTCAACAACATTTCCAATGGTGATAAAATACAATGTCAACGTACATCGGATACGAATAATACCAGCAATTCATTTAGTAGTCTATTTGCCAATGTTTTGGGTTCAGATCATTCAAAACAAAATTGTCCCATTTCGGATAGTTCATTGATCATAAGCCTTTTAAGACTTTGTTCATCGCTAATTCAGACAGAGTTACCACGTCAATTGACTGTAAGTTCTTGCCTCACTCGTATTGTATGGTTATAAAATAATTTGAAAATTTGTCAACAGGATGTTACCATACCAGAAGAAGAAGAACTGACCAGCATATGTCAAACAGATGAGACGAAAGCGGAACAATTAAATATTGAAGGTCATCGTGTTAAGACTCCATGCATTGCTGATACAGGTAATACCAACAACAATGAATGTCAGGAGGGCAGCAAAACCGAATCAGCTAGGGACAGATTAATCACAAAAACGTGAAATGAAAAAATTAAAACTAGAGTTTAAGCAAGTCTAGAGAACGGGTCAACAAAGTGTCTGGTTTCAAAGTGTCTTTTTCTTCAAAGAGAGCTTTTCTGAAGTAGCTGCAATAAATGCGTATAGTCTTATCAATCGGTAGATCAATCGACGAAGACCAACCTCAAGCTAATTCATCAGTAGTTTCACTCCCAAAGTGCCATTTTCTACCAGTTTCTTCTATAAGAGCCTTTTTGGAACAGCTGACATAATAGTTCATGGGTGGTTTGACCTCGAGCTAATTCATAAGTCATTTCCTGTCCTGGAACCCACCAAACCTTAGATCAATCGACGAGGACCAACCTCAAGCTCGTCGTTTCACTCCCAAAGTGCCATTTTCCACCAGTTTTTTCTATAAGAGCCTTTTTGGAACAGATGACGGAATAGTTCATGGGTGGTTTGACCTCGAGCTAATTCATAAGTCATTTCATGTCCTGGGACCCCCCAAACCTTAAGAGTTCACGTATTGCTAGAATATAGCAGGTTGTTTTCATGATTAACGGCAATATGGCCTTGCATTCGATTTCATGGTGCCATTATCTACCAGTTTCTTCTAGGATAGTTTTTTTTGAGACTGCTGACTGCTGTTGATTGATCTTCTGGAAACCAACTTAAACTAATTGTTGAGACATTTCATTCCCCACTATGTTGCTATGTCCTGTGACCAATAACAACAAGAGAGATTGGTTACTTTTACCATTGGAATCAAGATCCGTAAGCTAAATATGGCTTACCACTAGACATTCGGTTAATTGGGTTGACACATTAAATACATGTTTTATGTTCCGTTCTTCTGATAGTCTACAGGAATCTCGTTAAGTAAACAAATATTACAAATCTTGGATCTTGGGATGATTTAGGTTATATTTCATACGAATACGAAGTCTCACAAAATAATCAAGATTATGAAAAAATGTAATAAATATATATTAGAATTATATGTAATACTTTTTTTATTCCATTACAGTATTGCGTCATTTCCCAACAATGAAACGTTTGCTGGGTTCTCTATCTCACTGTTCCAGTTCTTCGTTTACGTTAATGTCTTCATCGGATCTGTATGGCACTCATCCGGCAATTTCAACATTTTTACTTGATGAACCACAAACTGCTGCTGATGCTGTCTTTAATATGCTGCTAACATTATGTGAAAAGGCTTCAAGTTCACGCCTTATTGTCGCCCCAATATGCCAATATTTGGAAGCATGTAAGTAGAAAAAATTATATCGCAAGGGACTGATACACTTATTAATATTTAATTTCTCCTTTTTGCAGGCACATCGCAACGCAGCACTTTGCCCAGACTACATTTATCAGAGCCTCTACTATGGTACATATCCAAAGTTTTGTACCTGTCCTCATCGGTTCATTTGTTTACACAATTGGGAGGAATTGAAATTATATGTAAAAATTTAGTTAAACTAAATAAAATACTTATTAATGTTCAACCAGGCTTGGTAAGTCATAATTTTGCTTGCAAGGATTTCTATTTGAAGATCTGTAACTTTTTTTCAGATATCCATGATAATGCAACACATGACAAGGAATGCCAAACTTAAGTTGGTGTCACATGCCTGCTCAAATGGCAATAGCAAAAAATCCAGCTCCAGCAGCAGTCAAAATCATCGCTATCTACAGGATGGTTTAATTAATTTTGCTCCCTTCTGCACAATATCTGCTGAAAATGATACCGCCCAATCGGCCGAAATATTAATAATGAATCCAGTGGCTTCACATCGTAGACCTAGGACGCCAGCCTGGAGTTATATGTTCTATCCGAATGAATCACATGCTGATCTCACAATAACACTACCCACCGCCATACTATTGCGAGAGGTACAATTGCAACCGCATGCACCAACTTTGGCCTCGTGTCCATCGGCTGTGGCTTTGGAAATATCCAGAGATTTTGGTTTGGGACCAGTGCCGGTGGGTCCGCCACTAACCACTACGGGCATGACTTGTATACGTCTCAAGCTTGCCAAGCCGGAAATTGCAACTAGCATTGTATTGAGATTGTACAGGTATGTCATATTTACAAAATTGTATATATTATGTTATTGTTACTGTAACTCTTTGTTTTTCTCCCTTTTTAATAGGCCAAAAGATAGCCCCAGCATTGGCCTAACCCAAATAGCTGTATTGGGCAATACCATATTCTCTTCACATAGCGGCAATGGTGGTGGTCTGGTTACCAATTCAAATTGTAGCACTTCGGCTCTTTCTTTTGACCAGGCCATGGATGATGATTCCTTTGCCAAAACAAGTGTTGGCTGGGTACGCATACTCTCCAGATGCTATAGTGTCGCCTCAAAAGTCTCATCGGCTTCAAAATTGGCGGCCGATGTTATTGGTGCTTCAGCAGCATACCCTGGCTTTCTGGATGCTTGCTGTTCCCTTATGAATATTATGCCCATGATACCAAATGCTGCAGTACAAAACTTGGGTTCGGTTTTGCTGACATTGGGAGCCTATAGCAAAGATTTATGTTTGCAATTGATACGGACTCTGTTATGGAATACCAGTCCACAAAGTATGTAAAAAGAATATCATATTCTCACCTCTTCAGATTTTAACATTCCTTATGCCTTTCAGTATACAAGCTTTCCAATGACAGCATATGTGATCTGTTATATGATTTGTGCACCACCAAAGATACCTATGTCATGGATAAGGTGAAGGTTCTTCTTGAATGGATTGATCATCTAAGACAAAATTTTAGCAGCAATACAGCCCGTTGCAATAATCCCCAAAGTGGTTTTGTGAAATGTATTGCCTCTATCCTATGGAATATTTTTGAAGATAACAGTGTACCAAATTTGTCGGAATTAATAACGGAAAATGTTTTCGAGGCATGTATGCATTGGATTGATCGTTTGGAGAATGAGGAACCACTTAAGGTGGCATTTGATTCGTTGCTTTGTTCCTTGTGTTACATTCAGCCAAAATTCTTTAATCACATGCTAATGCGATTGAATGTAAAAATTGCCCATGCCACCAGTAGTGGATCTGCAGCAGAGAGTGGTGATGGCAATGCTACAATTTTAAGTGGTGTGGCCTCTAATATAGCCGAAGATGATAGCACCAAGTGTGGTCTGACTGACGATAAAAAGGAGATGAGTGGAAAAGTTTGGTATGCCAATGTGGCTACAGATAACTTATCAACATTGTTTCAACATCCCTCATATTTGGCCACCATTGCTTTGGCTTGTCAATCCTCAAATGCGGTATTTCAGCTTGTGGATTCGGGTTTGCCGAAACTGTTGGCCTATGCTTTGTATGAATATTGTTCTAAGCTTTTGTGTCAAGAAATGGATGTGGACAACAACACTCAACGTTCTAACTCTCCAGTTGAGCTCCCCAATCCCGTTTCTCCTACCTCTCCTTCTTCATTGTCCCGGACTTGTATGACAGATGCTGACAAGGTTGCAGGCGACCATCATCACGGAATGGAAGAAATGCAAACCGAAAATAATGATAACACTGACCCAACGCAACCACAACTGATGTCCTTTGAATTAGTGCCTAAAATTTTGGACTTTTTCTCCGATTGTTGTACTGAGGGTCATATGCGCGATTGGTTGGGTACCCAGCAGGGTTCAATATTTTGGAAACCCTTATTGAAATTACTTTGCAATCATCGACCCATTGATTTTATATCCCCTCAACAGAGCGGCGTCAGTGAGCCAACACAACAGGCTTTTATACGCATCGAAAGGGCCACAATAAACTTCTTTTCCCATGTAACCGCCTGTCACCCGAACAATCAAAATATATTGACAATGCTGCTGATTGAGGTAATACGTGAGCCGTCGGCTTCGTTGGCCACAAAGAGTGGTACCAATGCCGATGGCAGTAATAAACAGACAATATCTGGTTTTACCCGCCAATTGGTATTGCAATTGCTATTGGAAAACGAACGTTTACTGGTATCGGTTCGTAGTAAACAACCATTGCAAAAAAGAGATCCTCATGCGACGTTTATGTCGATGGCATCAAATCTGCAGAACTCTACAACGGCCAGTAGTTATGTAACGCCCAGCAGTAGTGTTAACATTTCATTGGTTAATCATCATCCGGCGAAACGTATCAACACTCATCATTTATTGTTTTCGGTTAGTGCAAACACAAAGTGTCAGGAGATCATACAGAATTGCCTTTCAGGTGAGTGGAAAATATGCAAAGTCTGGAGTATTCTGGATAAGGACCTTTTTGTTTTGAAAGCGCCCTTCTTTATTCTTTAAAAACCAATTACTCAGCTACAAAATTCATTTAAATGAATGTTTGTTTCTTTTCTCGTAGAAAATCGACGCAATGACAGTGGAATGGTGACTACAACCATGGTCGCTGGACCAAGTATACCCAACAGCACCAGCTGTGATATACATAAGGAAGATGGTAGTGACAAGAATCAAAATGATCCCTATAAGGATATATCAATTAATTTCAATGGCCTGGAAAATGGTATGGAATTTTTAAGTGTTGCTGCCGGTGTTACGGCCAAGGACAAACGTATAAAGGATGCTAAAAATCAAGTGGCTGCCAATAAGGAAAACAAGGAAATGGTGGCCAATTTTTCAAGTATGTTTGTTCCCTTGCTCTTAGTTAATGAGGTATTTTTTATATCAATTTTATTATTACAGAACTTGTCAATTTGGAAGACATTCTTACACCCACCAATACCGTATCGAATTCATCAAATTATGTTCAACTTGTACATCGTGATTATCCTGAAATACAAATAGGTAGTGATACAACAATATCCCAGTTATTAGCTGCTTTGCAAAGCAAAGGCTATTCATTGGCAAAGCCTTGTTTAAGTCTTGAATTGGTAAGTAATTTTCTTTGAACTATTTTCAAATGATTAAAATCGTTATTTTTTAGATCTCTGGAAAGAGCGGCGGCTCCCACACAGAAGTTGGCGATGAAACTTGTGTGGTCAAGGCTTCTTCTGTGGAACCCTTACCATCCCCCTTGCAACGGTTCTCTAGCCGTGGTGGTTTATCATTGTTGGCTCAATATTTGCCAACTGTTTATCCAGAAATAACTTCACGAAAACACCAAAATAATGCACCCGAAAAGGAAAAGAGTCCACCCATGAATGATTGGGTGAAGTTAGAACCAAACGATGACATCTATGAAGATTTAGAGGATCCATTATCAGAACCCACAACCAAACAGGCTACCATAACTGCAGTGCCGCAACATTCTTTGGCAGCATTTGGTTTGTTTTTGCGTCTTCCCGCCTATTCGGATGTGCTACTACGTGATAAGTTACGGGCCCAATGTTTGCTGCGTTTGGTTCTGGGTGTCACCGGGGATGGAGAAGGAAGTGAGTATCCCAATAAACTATTACTTTTTATTAGAAGCCTTTCTAATCACCCCCTCCAATATTTTCAGATGATATCTACAGTCTTTCATTAGCTCCAACATTGCCAACATTGCCTTTTGAAGTTTTTCGCCAGCTTTTGGATAGTTCACCATTGACCACGGATGATGGTATGCTATTGCGGCGCATGGTTATTGAAGTTGGTGCCATGCATTTGATATTGAATTGTCTGAGTATATTTACCCATCATTCGCCCGTTTATCCATTGGGTAGTAGCCAAAATGAGGTATGTTAAGCAAATAACTTAGACAAGATTTCTGGTGGAAATTTTCCTTGTCTAATGTCTTTTCTTAAATCTTTTTAGACAACAACAAATGGCAGTAATGGCAACAGTATCAAACCAGCCATGAATTTGGGTGAAGATGCTTCAATGGCCACCTCCGATGACAAAGGCCATATGTATTGGGCCAAGGGTACAGGTTTTGGCACTGGTTCTACTACACAATCTTGGAATGTTGAACAAGCACTGCTACGTCAAAAAAGTGAAGAGGAACATGTCACTGTCTTGTTGCAGGTATGATCATTTAATAATCACAAAGGGAAACTTCTTAAATCATTTTTTTTTGTTTTAAAGGTCCTTGCAAGTTATATAAATCCAGGAGATCGCATTCCAACACCAGAAGAAATGCCCTATCATGAAATGATGAATGCCTCGAATGAACTTCCCAATGAATTTCTAACTTTGCTAAAGCAATCGTGTCTCATTCCAGCGCTTAGTTCCTACTTACGCAATGATTCCGTACTTGATATAACCCGACACATTCCATTATATCGAGCAATATTGCAATTGTTGAGATCCATATCATTGTCACAGGAATTGGTAACGCTATTGCAACCCCAAAATATGGGTGAAAGTTCTCCATCGATTTCGGAACTTTTAAGCAATATGAAAACCTGTGTGGATACCTATGCCAAACGTTTGAAGTAAGTGTGGCAAATTGTATTTTCTGTTCATGTCAATTGGTAAATTCTGTTCTTTTCTTTAGGTTAAATAAAAAATCCAACATTAAGGGTCAAACCCAACAGGTCACAGTGAATATTGATGATGGCGACGACGAAGGCTTAGCCTTGCTTATTCCCGATATTCAAGAGACCACGGTGTTGGTACAAAAAACCACCCAAAGATCAGGCCAACAACAGCAAAATCAGGCTGGCGGTGGTTGTGGCATAAATGAAGCCGGTGGTCAGTTAATGGACTTTGAGCGACCGCTTCTAAGCAAATCGATAGAAGAGCGTTATCTGGAGGTCATGAAAAAACTGCAATTCGACACGTATGACATGATTGTGGAGGCTGAGAGTAATGGTTATCGTTTTGTGGTGTCACATCATTTTGAAAAAATGGTACGCATGGCCGGCGATCGTTATCATCCGTCGCGTGTCAAGCGCTTGGCCCAAGAAGCTGTCACGCTATCGACCAGTCTGCCATTGTCCTTTAGCAGTTCGGTATTTGTGCGTTGTGATACAGATCGTTTGGATGTTATGAAGGTAAGAAGAAAAGGCGGCGTAAGGGCCATATTGTGGAGATTATATTTCGTTAAAAGACCCCATAAAGACTGCATTTTTTTCTCATGAACAAATTCTATAAAGTTTTTGTCCAATAGAGATCGACATAACTTGGGAAGAGGTTTGAAATTTTTAACAGACATTGATTTTTCATGCCAATGGCGATGAAAATATTTTAGATAAAGTTTTTGTTTTTGTTATAGGCATTGATTTTAGGTCTGTCTGGTTTTTTTTTATACAGGAATGTCTTTCTCAGAGTGTTAACACGAATCTGAAAGCTTTCAAATGAAAATCCAAAACAATTTATCTTCCAAATCGCTCTCTTTGACAGAAATGTTGTGTTAATAGACAATTGTTACACATTTTTAGTAATCAGACAAACCTAATGTTCCTAGGGTTTTAAACTGTACGTCGAACATAGGAGAAGAGTGTATTCTCAACGATTTAATACGATAAAAATCTCTGCCACATTATCTCACATATTTTGTTCATTTCTAATGTTTTGCATTCCAGGTCCTTATCACCGGCCCAGCTGATACTCCATATGCCAATGGTTGCTTTGAATTCGATGTGTTCTTCCCACCTGACTATCCGAATCTACCAATGCTAATTAATTTGGAAACAACCGGTCGCCATTCGGTGCGTTTCAATCCGAATTTATACAATGATGGTAAGGTGTGTTTATCTGTTCTCAATACATGGCATGGACGGCCCGAAGAGAAATGGAATGCCCAAACATCCAGTTTTCTACAAGTTTTGGTGTCCATACAGTCGTTGATTCTGGTGCCTGAACCATATTTCAATGAGCCTGGATTTGAGCGTAGTCGTGGTACGCCAAGTGGCACACATTCATCGCGTGAATATAACAGCAATATCTATCAGGCCTGTGTGCGTTGGGCAATGTTGGAACAGATAAGAAATCCTAGTCCATGTTTTAAGGATGTAAGTGACATTTTGTTAAAAAAAAAAACAAAATTATTTCATTAATGTTGTCATTGAATGCTCTTTGTAGGTTATTCACACCCACTTCTGGTTGAAACGCAATGAGATTTGTGCTCAAATCGAAAACTGGATAGAAGAGCTGTGCAAACCTCAGTATAATGAACGTAGTAGTCGTACTATATCCTTCAATTCCATGGTATTGCGCAGACAATACCGCCACTTGCGAGAAGAGTTGGCCAAATTGAAGGTTCCCGAAGGCCTGGAGGATTTAGATGAACCATTCAATCCAAATGTAACGCTGCCAGCCATGAGTGAAAGTGCAAACAATGCCAGCAGCATTAATAGCAGTAGTGGTGCTGCATCCAAGCCACAAACAGATAGTTCAGTTATTTCCACAACAAGCACCAATGCCAGCAGTTCAAGTGCCAGTGCCATTGCGGAAACAAAATCCAATGAAGGTTCTGAGGAAACCACCGTTGAATCGTTAAGTTCTCAACTATGTAGTGGCAGTGCGCCATTGGCACCACTTGAAATCAACACGAATCAGCCCTACATTAGTTGTGCCATGGATGAGGATAGTGATTCGCCTGCGGTTCTGCCCCAATCTACATTACCCGCAGCAGCCACAGCCAAAGTGGTCCAGGTAGACGAGCAAACAAATGAGGGTGAGGATGGCGGAGATGTTGAGGATGATGATGACGAGGCAGAAGGTGATAATGATGGAGATGATATCAATGCCCCCGAAGATGCTGATGGTATGGATGCTAATGATTACAAATGTGTTGGAGAACTAATGGAACAACTATTCTTTGCCGGTCCAGATAATACCATGCACTATGATGATTGAAGGGAGAAGGAATCATCCCAGCATCACTTCCAATAGTTTACACCCTTGATGAGACTCGTCGCCTCTCTATCTAACTAGACACACTATTGTGCATTATTGTTCTGCCTTCTTTTTTGTGAATACACAACAAACATACATACATTAAAAAAAAATTACGTTTTTCTAAAAACAAAAAAATGATTCGACTACCATATACACGTACATACATACGTAGATTCATAACAACCAATCAACTATTCTATATAACATGCTTAGAAATTATTTTTGATTTGTACTTTATAGTACCATCAGCAGCATGTTCTGTTCTATTCTTTTTATAACTTAATTATTACTATTATAATTTTTATTTCATTTATTAGTTTTTAAATAGTGTTTTTTACTTTCCCACAAGAAACAAAAAATCTTAAAACAAAAGAAATATATATTCAATAAAAATTAATTGGAACTCTTATGGCAATCGGCGATTGCAAACAAGAGAGAACACATGCTAATGAAACATTAATGGCTGCATATTTATTATATAAAAACAATTATGTACTCCAGCAATCCCTTCGAACCACTCACTCTCCCCGTCCCCTACTATTCCAAGTTTTTTCCCTTAGCCACACACATCCAAACATACATATATCCAAACAAAAAACATATATATCAACCAAACTCTTTCTCATTGCATAATATATGCCAAGACTTAAAAATCAGTGCGATGGCCACTGGTTATAATAATATAATAATACCTATACACATAATAATAACAACAATAAAATGGCTGATTATTAACAAAACAATTAAAGTGTAATTCATTTAATAAAGTTTTTTTTGCAAATAATAATGTTGTTATCATTAAGGTATTAATTGCATAAAAAGTTCGCTCAAGAGAAGAGAGAGAGAGTATTGAAATTGAATCAGGAAGGAGTAAACGACCATCTAGGTTTCAATCCCAAAAAGAAATTTAGGATACACACGAATAACTTGTTATAGGGTAATGCAAACTAAACCAAGCCCACATAGTCAAAACAGTTCCAAATACAACTATAAATTGGAATACTCCAAAAATTATGGATTATTTTTAGAGTATTAATTTTTTTAAATTTGTTTTTGAAACCGTTTTGGCTATGTGGGCTTACTACCTTATTTTATTTAGGAAAATTTACATAAAAACACGTAAAATCGTATCCGTCGGTTTTGCCGACAGAGTTATGATTATTCAAACCATGAGTTATGATTATTCAAACTTTTGACCCTTTATGGGGGAGGTTCCGAAGGTTACCAAATATTAACCAATTCGTATCTGATCAAAGACTGACTTTGACTATTTCGACTACTTCCTATACTTTATATGAGATATGTGCAAATTTTTAGAAAATGTGGAAATATGCGTTAGGCAACAGATATAGCGGACCGGAGTATTCCATTTTCATACTTCATATTAATACAGATAAAAATATTGGTATGTGTGAAATTATAAATTTCGATAAATTACATATTCATATTAGATTTCTTGTTAAGAGAAATATTTAGATATAGCAAATTGTAAAGAATCGCCGACTTGTTTCGCAAGTTATGACAGATATAGGTATTGGAAATTGTAACCCTTTGTGGGTGAGGTACTAGAAGGGGTTGGCAGTTATCTATCATCGTCACAACAGATCTTGCGTTAGCAAAAATATTTGGATGTGTGGAATTTGAAGAGAGTTGAATTTTTATTTCGCTTTCTTTGAGCGTTTTGTTTTTCAAAAATGTTGGACCCTATATGGGGGATGTACCAGAAGAAATATTCTGATATCTACCACCTTTATAACAGATCTTGTGTTCATGGAAATATTGAGATGTACCAAGTCTGAATGGAATAGGATATCAATTTTGCGGTATATGAGCTTCATGGGTATTCAAAATTGTCACCCTTTGTGGGGGAGGTACCAGAAGGTGTTGTCCGATTTCTACCATCTTTATAACAAATCTTGTGTTATTGGAAATATGGAGATGTGCCCAGCCTGAATGGAATCGGTGTTAACTTCGCGTCTTAGGAGCTTCATGGATATTCGAAATGTTGACCCTTTTTGGGTGAGGTACCAGAAGGAGTGGCCCGATATATTCCATCTTCACACTAGACTTTGGGTTAATAAAAATATTGTTATGGAAATCGGACTATTACATCAAATTTTATAAGAGTTATAATTATTCAAATTTTTGACCCTTCGTGGGGGAGGTACTTGATGGAGTGGATCGATATTTTCCATTTTTCAGCTGACTTGCACTAATGCAAATATTAGTATTTGTAAAATAATATTTTTTTTTAATATTTTTTTGGAAATTTCGTCCATTTGTAGGGGGGGTACAAGAACAAGAAGAGATGGAATGTATCGGTCCACTCCTTTTGATACCTCACCCACAAAAGAGTCAACATCTTCAATATCAATGAAGCTCATAAAACGATTTCATTCAGACTTGGTTCATCTCAATATTTCCATTATAAATATGACAGAGATCGGACCATTTCATCTGGTACCTCCCCCACATAGGGTTTAAGTTCTGAAAAATCAAACGCTCTCTTCAAATTTTACACATACAATTATTTTTGCTAACACATGATCTGTTGTGAAGATGATATAATATCTGCGAACCACTTCTGGTATCTCAACCCCAAAGGGTCAAAATTTTCAGTAATTTTATTTTTCATATCTTGTGAAACAAGTCAGCGTTTCTTTACAACTTGTTATATCTAAACAATTTCTCTCAACCAGAAACCTGGGATGAATATGGAATTTATGATTTCGCATAAAATTGGATATTCGAATTTCTTGTAATTTTGCCTATAGCAATATTTTTCTCCAATCTTTAAAATATTAAAAAACATATCCTAAAAAGAATATTTAAGAAAAAGTAAGCAAAGGCTATAGTAGTGCGGGGCCGACCTACAACACTGCAATATGTTAGAAGCCCACTTATGTCCAAATCCATTTTGGAACATTTCGCGTTTGAAATTATGTCACGGAGCACTCTTAGCATTTTGACCAGGGATATTTGTCCAATAATTACGCACTCCGTCGTGCTGTTAGTTGTTGTTGTCCATTTTACAGCTAAATATAATTCAATTGTCATCCAAAATGCTAGAATTCTCCCCTGTCCTAAACTCTCTTCTCAGGCGTGTCGATTGGCTTCAATTGTGTGATCAGGAATATTTTTCTGTTTTTGGTTAATTTGAACCCCTTAATGTCTTGCAATCATCTCCAAAAGCATGGGAACCCTCTGTATCTCAAAATTTAGACTCATTTATATGATTTGCTCGTCTACGATATTCGGTTATATTCGTCAAAGAAATCAGCATAAAAAAGCCAGAAGTTCGCCTTTTGCGTATTTCGGATATCGCCTGTAAGTAATGTTATAATGGTATTTTTTCAAAAGTAGAGGTTCAAAACTCTAACTTCATGAGAGATTACTTTAGTTTCTATTTGTTACCTCTATAATAGCTGCAAAATCAGGACCTTTTTTAGTTGTTGGTCTATTTCAACCCCTAAATATATTACGGACATCTTTGAAAACAATAGGCCTAGCGCTTTCGAGCCTAACCCGGAATTAAAAATATTCACGGTTTAATGGAAAATTTGATTTTTAATTAACGCAGATGTTACGGTCAATTTCACCCGCTATACATTACCCGATGATCATAAAAATTGGAAGACTTCTTTTCAGCCCTATGATCTTAGCATGGGGCTGCTAACTTCCGCGTCGAATGGTCTATAATTGCGACTTGTAGACAAACTGCAATATCAGGAAAATTAGGGCTCTATTGTGGCCCTAACCCCACCTCCATTCTAAATTTCGTGAAGATCGGACCATAATTGTGACCTGTAGAGTGATTACAAATGAACATGGACAGACGGCGGACGGACATACATAGCTAGATCGACTCAGCTCGGCGAGATAGGAAGATCCATATGTGGGAAACCAATATTTCGAGGTGTTACATAATTTTTGGCCCAATCAAAATTATAATACCCCCGACACATAGTGTTGTAGGATATAAAAAACCACTCCCTTGGACACTTTTTAATAAATCCACGTCCTTGTAAAAAAAAATTATAAAAAACGAAACCTTGAAAAATATTTTTAAAAAATCCACATACTTCGAAAAAAAATTGAAAAAATCCGAGTCCTTGAACAAATAGTTAAAAAATTGCAAACCTTAAAAAAAATTAATAAATCCACGTCTTTGAAAAATATTTAAAAAAAAATCCACATACTTTGAAAAATAATTAAAAAAAAACCTTTAAAAATATTTTAAAAAATCCACATCCTTGGAAAAGCATATAAAACATCAAACTCTTTGAAAAGTATTTTTAAAAAATCCACATCTTCGAAAAAAACGTTAAAAAATATTTTTAAAAATCTGCTTCTTAAAAAACTACTTTAAAATGATATTTTTTAAATTAAAACAATATTTAATACAAACTAGTAAGCAAAGGCTATAGCCGTGCGAGGCCGACCAAGTGTAGGGTATCACACTACAATATTTTGGAAGCCCCTTAGGTTCAAATCCATTTTGGTAGATTTCATTTTTGAAATAATGCCATACAAACCTTCACAAAATGTTACGTTTGGTTTTTGAAATATAGGGCAAATTTACGCTCTTCGTCGTGTTGATAAGTACTGTTGTGGTCTATTTAAACGCTAAATACAATCCCATGGTAATCCAAAATGCTAGACCTTTGCCCTGTAAGGATCGGACCATAATTGCGACCTGTAGCGTGATTACAAATTAACATGGACAGACGAACGGAGGGACATAAATAGCTAGATTTACTCAGCTCGGCGAGATAAGAAGATCCATATAAAGATTCCTATGTCGGTGACCAATATTTCGAGGTGTTACATAATTTTTGGCCCAAACAAACTTATAATACGCTATGCGCATACAAATATACTTCATTGAAAAAAAAAATTAAAAAGATCCATTTACTTGAAAATTAAAAAAAAATCACTTGCTTGAAAAATATTTTTTACAAATAATTGATGTTTATGAGAAGTTCTTGAAGAAATTCTTAAAAATAATCCACGATAGTCCTTGAAATATATTCAGTAAAAATCATGCAACGTGGATAGTCTTAAAAGAATATTTTAAAAAAATTCATATGTAAAAATATCCCTCATCCCTTAAAGCCGGTAATGGAAAACCGCAGAGCTAATTTAAATAAAATGCGTTGTCATCATTCCACATAATAGGTGGTGGTATGTAGAACAGCCTTGAAGAAGGTTAGTTCTTTGGTTCATAAATATAATTGTAGAGTAGGAATTGTCGGCCGATTAGGACCACAAAATTGTTACTGATAGTAATCTTTTTTATTTTTTGTTCTTTTTACTTTTTTTGGAATATTGAGAGATCAATTTTGCCGTTGCCGTGCAGTTATCGTTGGAAACTTTCCTTATCGATTTCGGTTTTATGAGGGGGGCATTTTCTCGTTGTGTTCTCTTCTTCTGTCTACTCTTTAATGACGCAGTGATGCCGTTAATTGGCATGATAACTAACCAACCTACCCAACAAAATATACGAGTGCAACAACAAATAGCACATGCTTTGTGAAATCTCACAGAAGTAAAATACAAAAAAAAAAAACAGCAGGAACAACATCAACAACAATAAGTCAACCCATTGCCTTTTACTTGATGATCGGGTTGGACTGAAAGGGTTGCTCGCCTGCTTGGCTTCTAGTTAGTTAATGATTCGTTGGGTCGCTCGATTGATCGGTTTCCATCAACAGCCATTCAGTAGATGTTCATCACTTCGTTAAGACAATTCAAAGGAATCGGTCGTTGGGTTCGGATCTTATCGTCTTTGATATTAATTGCTAGTATTGCTTCTAATCGTTAAGTGTGATAAATAAGAAATAAATTAACGGAACGGAACAAAAGAACTTTTCCCATAGAATGCTCTGCTGAATATTTTTGTCGCCTTAAAACAAAAAAAAAAAAAAATGGAATTAAATAATGTAACTATCGATGGGGTTGCCCAAAATGTTGCTGTAAGTTTGCCAAACGCCGTCTTGTCACCGCCGTCGCCAATTTAATTTTATCCTCTGACGATTTTTCTTCGCAGTCGAATGCCAAAATAAAAAGAAAAACCAAAGTGTGAAAAAATTTGGCTTTTTTTGAACAAGAAAACACAAATTATAACGTAATAGAACATGTCAATTTAAATCACAAGAAATACTAAAGTGAATCATGTTCAATAATATAACCATTAATTGAATAATTTGTGTGGATTCAATGGATGCGCCATAAAAGTTGCAGATAATATTTTAACATGAATAGAGAAAAAATAAAAAGAGACAATTAAAATAGAAGGGAAATCACAGTCGTATTTACCGGAATTATTTAATTTAATTGATATATAATCCAAAATAAAAATCAATTACGACTTTATGTATTGTTTGTTAAAATTACATTATTAAACCTGTATAGAATTTTATAAATCCCTTGGGACATTTCCGTCAGAAAAGTGACAAATTTAAAAAAAAATATATATAAAACAATTTTTAATAATTTCATATTTTTAATAAGTTCATATTAGGAGAAAATTAAAAAAATACACGGTATGGATAGCCTTTAAAAAATGGTCTACAAAATACCTAATTTGTTGTTAGTTCTTGAAAAATACATTTTTAACCTGTATGGAATCATACCCCATAGGATTTTCCGTCAGAAAAGTAGTGGCTTTCTTGTAATTTTTATCAGCCATATGGTTAGCCATATGGCTAGAGTAGGTATATATGATTTGATACGGCAAAAACGTGGCTCATCGAAATAACGATTTTAGACCCTTGGTATCTTTGGACTAAATCCGTTTCAGGACATTTGGAGTCGATTTAGCGATGTTCGTCCGTCTGTCTGGCTGGCTGGTGCGCACAATAACTCGCGAAGAGAGTATCCGATTTGGGCCAAACTTGGTACATCGTAATATTATTATCAAACTTAGATCGAGTTCGGAGATGGGCAATATCGGTCCACTCCTTCTGGTAACACCTTCACAAAAGGTCAACGTTTTCCAAAAATTATTTTACTGCACAGAAAGAGAAAGGATAATCCTATTTTGCCCCAAATTTGTAAATCCTAATATTTACATCAGTGGTAAGTCAGGTGCGAAAATAGACAATATCGGTCCACACCATCAAGTACCTCCTCCACAAAGGGTCAACATTTTGAATAATTTTAACTTTTATAAAATTTGATGTAATAGTCCGATTTTCTTCAAATTACACACATCACAATATTTTCATTAACCCAAGGTCTAGTGTGAAGGTGAAATATATTGGCCGACTCCTTCAGGTACATACCCCACAAAAGGGTCAACATTTTCAATATCCACGAAGCTCATAAAACGCGAAATGAAAATCCGATTCCATTCATACATAGTATATGTAAATATTTCTATCAACACAAGATCTGTTATAGAGAAGGTAGAGATCGAACCATTCCTTTTGGTATCTCCCCAAGAAAGGGTCACAATTTTAAATAACCAAAACGATTATAAAATTCGAAATAAGCATCCAGTTCTCCTCATATTTCACACATTCCATATTTCACACATTATTATTATTATAAGACAAGATCTGCTGTGAAGATGGGATGTATCGGCTACTCCTTTTGGTACCTCCTCCACAAAGGGTAAAAATTTTGAATATTTGAAGAGAGCTGCATACTTATTTCACTTTCTTTGTTTTTCAAAACATTTGAACCCTATGTGGGAGATGTACTAGAAAAAATGGTCCGATTTCTTTCATCTTTATAACAGATCTTGTGTGCAGGGAAATATTGACATTTACCAAGTCTGAATAGAATCGGATGTTAATTTCGAGTTTTATGACCATATTTACAGCAGCTCTTGTGTTTGTAGCAATAATGGGATGTATGTAATATGACAAGAACTGGATGCTTATATCGGATTTTATGATCGTTTTGGTTATTCAAAACTTTGAACCTTTAAGGGTAGGTACCAGAAGGAATGATTCGATCTCTACCATATTTATAACAGATCTTGCGCTGAGGGAATATTGAGATGTTCCAAGTCTAAATAGATGCGGATTTTAATTACACATTTTATGAGCTTAATGGATATTCAAAATTTTGACCCTTTGTGAGAGAGGTACCAGAAGGAGTGAACCGATATATCCCATCTTTACTCCAGTTTTGAAGACAATCGGACAGTTATTTTACATGTGAAAAGAGTTTTAATTATTCAAAATGTTGACCCTTTGTGGGGGAAGTACTTGACGGAGAGGACCGATATAGTCCGTTTTCGCACCTGACATAACACAGATACAACTATTAGGGTTTGCAAAGCTGGAGTAAAATTGGATTATCCTTTTCCTTCTTTACAGTAACATATATATTTTTTTTGTAGAAAAGTTCGATTTTTTTTGGGGAGGTAACAGAAGGAGTGGACCGATATTGCCCATCTCCGAACTCGATCTAAGTTTGATAAAAAAATTTCGATATAGCAAGTTTGGACCAAATCCGATACTCCCTTCGAGAGTTATCGTGCGCAACAGCCAGTGAGACGGACAGACGTAGTACAGCCTATAACTTCGCTAGATCGCCCCCAAATGTCCTAAAATGGATTTGGTCCAAAGAGTTGTATCAAATGATATATACCCTCTTTCTGGCTGCGGGTATAAAAAATGTCAAAACCGTCAAATCCTACGTTTTAGCCGGCTAAATGGCCGGTCCCGAGCGTGAAATAAAAGGTTTACCTCACTCGCTTCTCAATAAGTATATTGTTACGTGTGGCATGTGGCACTGTCTGGTTGAAAGCACATATCATGCAAGTCAAGCTCTTGCATTTTGGATATTATCTTACGGCCCATAATCCACACCAAACTGTGATTTTTCCAGTACGCATTGATGTCTTTTGCAATGATCTTCACTCCAAAATCGACAATTCTGCTTATTTATGTACTCATTGAGACTTTACATCAAATTGCTATAAGTAAAAGTCGCATATATTTATTTGTATCCATATCAACAAAATACCAGAGACGGTAGGGGAAGATAAACCAGTAAAGAAAGTCTTAATGTCGGCCGGGGCCGACTTTATGAAACCCTTCACCACTTTACATATTTAGTAGAGCCTCACATAACAAATAAAAGTTTTTATGGGGAATTTGTGAGAATTAAAGCATACCAACTATGATTATAGTAATAATTAGAAGTCCAAAGAAATATATGAGAGGAACATCCTCCTCCTCTGAATCGATTTGTACTAAATTTGCCGAGGTATTTGTGCCTTTTCAATTCGAGCTTGTATTACCCATTTGGTGCACAATTAACTGGAAATCGGATAAAGGTATATATGAGAGCTATATCTAAATCGATAAGATAAAGTCGAAAAATCGATCTCGATAAAATTTGGCAAAGGTATTTCTGAGCTGTATTTGATATATTTCCCCGAATTTCGTTACTATGGAGTCCATATTACGGCTGTGCAGGGCAAATTCAATAAATCGGATGAACAATATATATGTGAGCTATAGCTATATTTGAACCGATTTCCACTAAATTTGACATACTTGTTTCTGGACTCTATTTGGTCGTAGGTGCCGAATTCCATTCCATTTCTGGTAATATTACACGTTTTGTGCACAATAAAAGGCAAATCGAACGAAGGTATATATGTGAGAACTATCCAAATCTTAAGCGATCTCGATAAAATTTAACAAGGGCATTTCTGAGTCGTATTTTATATATTTGCCTAAATATCGTTGTTACAGAGTGTATATTACGGCTGCGGAGGACAAAAATAACAAATCGGATGAACAATATATATGGGAGCTATAGCTATATCTGAACCGATTTCGATCATGTTTGGCATACTTATTTTAAGGCCCAATCTGGTTGGATGTGCAAAATTCCATACTAAATGGGCAAATCAGACGAATTTATATAAGGGAGCTATACCTAAATTTCGACCGATTATCTCCAATTTCAATAGGGTTCGTCCTTGGGTCATATAAATTATTTGTGCAAAATTTCATCAGGATCGGGCAATAAATGCGACCTGTACTTTGTTTACAAAAATGCATGGACAGACGGGCGGACGGAAGACACGCATAAATCGACTCAGAATGTGATTCTATGCAAATAATTAATCATCTCTTTTCCTTTTGCCTGTTACAAACAAATGCACAAAGACATAATACCCTGACCTCCTTGTGGTGTAGGGTATAAAAATAATTTATTGATTTTGAAATGTTTACAGATTTCATTACATAAAAATAAATTATGAACTTCCCAAAGAAATAAATGCATTATTTATGTCAAAAGCCAATTAACATTATCAGAATACATTGGCTACCGTGCAGGCCGCTATGTTTATTTTTTTTCTCAATTAAACAACTTAATAATGAATAAATAAATAAAAGAAACGCCTTAATATTAATTGCTAATAAATTGTTGCAATCGAATATTATTAACTGTTTACGAAATACCACACAGACATACCAGCATGTATACATACATACATCATAGATTTTCAACATTTTACATATTTTACATCACTTGGGTTCTAATAATATGTAATGGGATATTGTTACGTTTTTTTTATTTGTGTTTCTTTTAATAAATACTATTATTAAGCAAGTTAAAATCACAGCATCATTAAATAATCACAGCAAATGTTAATTATGGAAATATTGTCCACCACCAGTGGCCGCCATGCATGGGTGAATGTTTTGATGTGAAAAATTGACGAGGCAGGGTAGGGGTTGGTTTCGGCGTCAACACTCGTATTTCATCTTGCAAGTGGCACTAGTATTTAATATTATTATTAATTAACTGCCATCTAATCTTAAATATGCATTCGTTTGTTTGGCGTTTTAAATCAAAACGAAACTGTTTTTTTTTTGTTTATCAATATTAATCGACAGCGGGAATTTATTTGCTTCGCTGCCGTTAGTGGGTTACTTAAATAAATTCCTTAATAAAATAGGAGACAGTTACACCGCGGTTTAAAAATATAGCACTGCATGTTTTGCCATCATCAGTAAGGTAAAAAGATGGCTCGGGAAAATGAAGGCTGAATTTTCTGAAAATCGAAAATTAAGACTTTATTAAGCGTTTTTTATACTCTCAGCCGTATGGCTAGAGAGGGTATATATCATTTGATACGGCCTAAATGTGCCTAATCGAAATAACGGTTTTAGACTCTAGGTCTCTTTGGACCACATCCGTTTCAGGACATTTGGAGTCGATGAAGCGATGGTCCATCCGTCCGTCTGTCCGCTGGCTGTGTGCGCCCAATAACTCTCGCAGGGAGTATCCAAAGTTGTTACATCGTAATCTTATTATCAGACTTAGATCGATTTCGGATATAAGAAATATCGGTCCACCCCTCCAAAAAGGTCGAAATTTAAAAAAAAAAAATACTGCACAGAAAATGAAAAGATAACCCGGTGTTGCTCCAACTTTTGAAATCCTAATATTTTCATTTGTGCTACATCAGGTGCGAAAATGGATCGGTCCACTCCATCAAGTACCTCCCCCACAAAGAGTCCAAATTTTGAATAATTATATTTTCTTAAAAAATTTGTGTAAAAGTACGATTGTCTTCACATTACACACAATATTATATCTTTATTAAACCAAGATCGGGTGTGAATATGGAAAATATCGGTACACTCCTTCTGGTACCTTCTCCATAAAGGCTCAACATTTTGAATATCCATAAAGCTCATTAAACACGAAATTAACATCCGATCCCATTGAGACTTGCCACATCTCACTATTTCTATTAACACAAGACATGTTGAAAATAGGGTATAGATCGGACCATTCCTTCTAGTACCTCCCAAGAAGCCCATATCTAATGGACAACATTTTGAAAAATTTTCTTAATATTTTTTAAATGTTTCAAATAAGATTTAAGATTCTTTCATATTTTGAATGTAAAAATATACTATATAGAAGTTTATATATTGTTGTGCTACAATTTTTACACCATTATATTACCATAGATCAGTACCTGTCTATTACATTTCTGATCGGTGTTGACAGACGCTCGTGACGAAGTGAGTGGTAATTTTTCAGAAACTCGTTAATAGAAGAAAATGAAAACACCCAATTTGTGCATTAATTCGATGAAAACAATTTTAATTTAGTAATAAATTAATACTAATTATAAGACGAAAAAAACTAGTGTTATGAAGTCTACCAGCAGTGTTCGACATGGACAACAAAGTTGATTTGTAGATATGTACAAATATTTCAGATACAACAATGATTAATATTTCCCGTGCAGTTTTCAGATGTTTGCGTTTGAGAAAAAATGTCGATTAAATAGTTGTTCTAAAATGAGTGTGAAATACATCACCAGCAATGTAAAATAAATACGTTTTGAAATTTCTTCATCATCAGGTGATGGCAATTAATTTCATAAAAATATATAATGCTGATTTTTTCGTTGTCTTGATTTATATATATATCAAATGAGAAGACATTATGGTCTTCAATGAAAAAAAAAATGATTTTCTGGTCTTCTATCAGAAGAAGGTCTTCTGATTTCTCTAAGAAAAAGTTCTTCTGACTTTATATGAGAAAAAGGATTTCTGGTCTTCAATTATGAGAATACAGACATTTATTTCCATTGGATTTTTTTCGGTATCATTTTAAAACTTCAGGATTATATTTTATTCTTGAAAACCCAAAAAAATACACTAGAACACACACAAATATAGCTCTGAAAAATACAAAAAAAAAAATATTGAAAATATTCCTAATAAATCTACGATTATAGTTTTGGAAAAAAATTAAAATATTATTAAAATTCGATGACTATAGTCCTGAAAAAATATTCTTAAAATATTTAAAATTTTAGCCTTAAGAATCCTTCAAAAACTTTTCTTTAAAATACAGAAAAAAAACCTCAGAAACTATTTAAAAAAATCATGAAATATGTTATCATGAAAATTTTCTTCAAAATTCAAGAAATGAAACTCCTAAAAATATTCTTAACATTTCACGATTATAGCCCCAAAAATATTTTCAAAAATATTATACTGAAAATTCCTCCAAAAATATATAATTTTTTATAAAACTCACGATTCTAGTCCTTTCTGAGATAAAAAAACTGCAACAAAGTCAAACTCCACGATTTTTATATATTTTTTAACTTTATTGAATGAAATCAAAAAAATATCGGAAATAGCATCAAATTTTAGAATTAGTTTAGATTTGTTCAAATTGGTCACCTTTGGCACGAATTATGGCCTTCAAACGGCCAATGAACCATCACACGCTGCCCATATGTTGCTATTCGGTATTTTTGGTGGCCATTGTGCGCTGGAATTCTCGCTTAATTTTTTTAAACATTCTTGGGTGGCGCGTGCTGAGTGCGATGGTGCTGAGTCCTGTTGGAATGTCCAAGGTATGAGGCCAAAATGTTTGCGTGCCCAAAGCTTTAATACACCCTTCCAAATATTTTGCGATAATAATCGGCATTTATTCAACTATTCGATAAATACGAGCGACCATCGGCAGTTATGGCGGCCCACACCATCACCATGGCCGGCGCTTGAGTTCTGGTGGCCAACCGAAGGTGCACATTTTCTGCTGACCTTTTTGGCAAGTAAACACGATCATTTTGTTTGTTTACAAACTACTAGACAACGAATGTTTTCTCATCGGAGAAAACCAAATTCGGCAGTTCACCACTTTCGGCCAAGCGAAGCAACTCTTTAGCTCTTTTGAGTCTATTTTTTCTGTTGCGGTGTAAGTTCTTGCACTTTTTGGAATTTCAATATTTCAATAATGGAAATGTCCACCGGAAACGGAAATCGAAGCAATGGATGATGATTCGAGGCAGGAGCTGTGGCAAATACGTATGCGTGAGTTGTCGGGTGCCATTGCAGTTTCGGCTATGGTACAGGTTATTTTGGGTTACACAGGGCTGGTGGGAAAAATTCTGCGATTTGTAACACCGCTGACCATAGTGCCCACAGTGTCGTTGGTGGGTCTGACACTGTTTGAACATGCCGCCGAAACCGCTTCCAAACATTGGGGCATTGCTGTGGGGTAACTATTGCTTCCAAACAGATTAAATTTCGATCCTCATTTTCTTTATAATTTTTAGAACAACGGCCATGTTGACTTTATTTTCCCAAATAATGTCAAATGTTGCCATTCCGGTGCCAGCTTATCGTAAAGGTCATGGTATTGAGTTTCGACCTTTCTTGCTATTCGGTATTTTTGGTGGCCATTGTGCGCTGGAATTCTCGCTTCATTTTTTTAAACATTCTTGGGTGGCGCGTGCTGAGTGCGATGGTGCTGAGTCCTGTTGGAATGTCCAAGGTATGAGGCCAAAATGTTTGCGTGCCCAAAGCTTTAATACACCCTTCCAAATATTTTGCGATAATAATCGGCATTTATTCAACTATTCGATAAATACGAGCGACCATCGGCAGTTATGGCGGCCCACACCATCACCATGGCCGGCGCTTGAGTTCTGGTGGCCAACCGAAGGTGCACATTTTCTGCTGACCTTTTTGTCAAGTAAACACGATCATTTTGTTTGTTTACAAACTACTAGACAACGAATGTTTTCTCATCGGAGAAAACCAAATTCGGCAGTTCACCACTTTCGGCCAAGCGAAGCAACTCTTTAGCTCTTTTGAGTCTATTTTTTCTGTTGCGGTGTAAGTTCTTGCACTTTTTGGAATTTCAATATTTCAATAATTTTTGAAAATTCAATGAATATTGCGAATAGAATATTGCGATATGTTCAGCTATGGAGACATTTTTTGGCCACTGCGACGCGGGTTTCGATCAATTCGCTTCTTTACTTTTCGAAACATTTCTGCTGATGTTGCTGTTTTCCTCCGTCCACTTCCTTGACGACGGGCTACGCTATCAGTATTACGGTAACGAGCCATGATACGAAACACAAAAGATTTATTCACATTTAAATGCTGGAGTGCTCTACCGACAGCCACTTGTGGTTTTCCAGCCAAATATAAAGAAATCAAACTATCACGCTTCAATTCCATCTCGAATAACTTTTTTTCTGGACAATTCTTACCAAAATGCTTTTGTACGCTTGTAAACAATGTAATGAGCTGTCACTGGAATAATATTAACAACTGTCGGACGAGTGGCTTAGAAATGACAGCAGTCTGAAGTTGGTTGCAGTTTTTTCATCTCACCCTGTATATTGACAAAAAAACGATTATAACTCAAATAATACTTAAAAATATATTCCTCAAAATCTACAATTACAGTTGATAATAGCCACGATTACAATCTCGATTTCTTTTCAAAAATCTTCTTTGAAATAATCTGATAATCCTTCTGAAAAATATTCCAAAAAATCAAGATTTTAGCCTTGATAATCCTTAAATATATTCTTAAGAAATTATTCTTTAATATTGTCCATCTTTCCCCAATTCTCACAGGTCACAACGATTGGCGGAAAATCAAATGACACCGAAAACAAAGCGAATGGCACAAAAAGTACGGAGAACAATAAGCTGTTATACGGCATAAACGATAATCCACCATGGTATCTGAGTATATTTCTGGCATTCCAACATTATTTGACAATGATCGGTGCAATTGTTTCGATTCCGTTCATTTTAACACCGGCCCTTTGTATGTCCGACGAAGATCCAAATCGTGGTATCATTATATCGACAATGATATTTGTAACGGGTATTGTGACGTATTTTCAAGCCACATGGGGTGTACGTTTGTCGATTGTTCAAGGTGGTACGATTTCGTTTTTAGTGCCGACCCTGGCCATTCTTGCATTGCCACAATGGAAATGCCCTCCGGAAGCGGAGATCGAAGCAATGGATGATGATTCGAAACAGGAGCTGTGGCAAATACGTATGCGTGAGTTGTCGGGTGCCATCGCCGTTTCGGCTATGGTGCAGGTTATTTTGGGTTACACAGGGCTGGTGGGAAAAATTCTGCGATTTGTAACACCGCTGACCATAGTGCCCACAGTGTCGTTGGTGGGTCTAACATTGTTCGAACATGCCGCCGAAACTGCTTCCAAACATTGGGGCATTGCTGTGGGGTAACTATTATTTGCGAATAGATTTAATATCGATCCTTAAATTCCATTTCCCTCATAATTTTTAGAACAACAGCCATGTTGACTTTATTTTCCCAAATAATGTCAAATGTTGCCATTCCGGTGCCAGCTTATCGCAAAGGTCATGGTATTGAGTTTAGACCTTTCTTGCTGTTTCGCCTGTTTCCGGTAAGTTGGGAAAAGGTGTAATTTGAAAATATTTTAATATTTTTTTCATGATGTTTTGAAGGTCCTTTTAACCATTATGATTATGTGGGGTCTTTGTGGCATCCTAACACTGACCGATGTCTTTGAAGAGGGTCATCCTTCTAGAACAGATGTTCGTTTAAAGGTGTTAACCAATGCCAAATGGTTTTATGTTCCATATCCTGGTCAATTTGGTGTGCCTTCAGTTACATTGTCAGGAGTACTAGGCATGCTGGCTGGCGTCTTAGCCTGTACTGTGGAATCGTTGAGTTACTACCCAACAGTTTCTCAAATGTCGGGTAAGAAAAAACATCACATGAGCCGATATTTTTTACTATTTTCAAAAATATTTCAATAAGGAATAAACGATCTGATTTGAAAACATATAAAGGGTGAGATAAAAAAAACTGCAACAAAGCCAAACGCCATAATTTTTACATTTTTTTTAATTATATTGAATGAAAGCAAAAAATGTCGGAAATAGCATCAAATTTTAGAATAAGTTTAGATTTGTTCGAATTGATCACCTTTGACACGAATTATGACCAATGAAACCGTCACACGCTGACCGAATGTTGCTCTGCGGTATTTTGGCCCATTCCCGGCGAAGCGCTTGCTTGAGGTGATCGACACTTTGGCATTTGTAAGTGCCAACCCTGCTTTCCAAAATACTCCAGACACAATAGTCCATCGGATTGGTATCCACAGATTTTGGTGGCCATTGTGCGCTGGAAATGAAGCGAGGAACCTTATTTTTGTAACCATTCTTGGGTGGCGCGTGCTGAGTGCGATGGTGCTGAGTCTTGTTGGAATGTCCAAGGTCTGCGGCCAAAATGTTTGCGTGCACAAGGCTTTAATACACTCTCCAGAATATTTTCGCGATAATATTCGGAATTTATTCTGATGCCACGGTCGATTAATACGAGCGGAGAGCGACCATCGGCTGTTATGGCGGCCCACACCATCACCATGGCCGGCGTCTGAGTTTTGGTGGCCAACCGAAGTTGCACTTTTCAGCCGACCTCTTTGGCAAGTAAACACGATAATTTTGTTGGTTTACGAACTGCTGGACATCGAATGTTTTCTCATCAGAGAAAACCAAATTCGGCAAAGCAAAGCAACTCTTTAGCTCTTTTGAGTCTATTTTCTTTCTGTTGCGGTGTAAGTTCTTGCACATTTTGGAATTTCAATGGCTTTACGTCGAGATCATTTTTCAATATTTGCCAAATGGAATATTGCGATATGTTCAGCTCACGAGCCATTTTCGGCCACTGCGACGCGGGTTTCGATCAAGTCGCTTCTTTACTTTTTGAAGCATTTCTGCTGATGTTGCTATTTTCTTCCGTCCACTTCCTTGACGTCGGGCTACGCTACCAGTATCACGGTAACGGAGCGATGGTACGAGACACAAAAGATGTATTCCCATTTAAATGCTGGAGTGCTCTAACGATAGCCACTTGTGGTTTTCCAGCCAAATATAAAGAAATCACACTATCACGCTTGAATTCCATCACGAATAACTTTTTTTATAATCGTTTTGTATAACCCTTTGTGAGGGAGGTACCAGAAGGAGTGGACCGATACACTCCACCTTCGCAGTCGATACTGTGTTAGTGAAAATAAATGAATGTGTGAAGTTTAACCCTTTGTAGGGGAGGAGGTACCAGGAGGAATGGTCCGATCTCTAACATCTTTATAACAGATGCTGTGTTGAGGGAAATATTGAGACGTGCCAGGTCTGAATGGAATCAAATGTTAATTTCGCGTTTTATGAACCTCGTGGGTATGGAAAATATTGACCCTTTTGTGGGGGAGGTATCAAAAGGATTTGACCGATATATTCCATCTTCACACCAGACCTTGTGTTGATAAAAATATTGTGGGGGGTGTAATTTGAACACAATTGGACTATTACATCACATTTTATAAAAGTTTAAATTACTCAAAATTTTGACCCTTTGTGGAGGAGGTAATTGATGGTGTGGACCGACATTGTTCATTTTTGGACCTTGAATATTAGGATTTACAAAGTTGGAGCAAAATAGGATTATTTTGATCTTTTGTGGGGGTGTAACCAGGAGGAGTGAACTGATATTGCCCATCTCCGAACTCGATCTAAGTTTGATAATAATATTCCGGACCAAGGACCAAGGGTCTAAAACTTCGATGAGGCACGTTTTAGCCGTATCAAATGATATATATCCTATTTAGCCATATGGCTGAGGGTATACAAATTAAAATTTAGTCGGTTCTTTAAAAAGTGCGGTCCTATAGACTATAAAAAACCTTGGAAAAAAATATTATTTAGGTCCTTTTTGAGTATGGCGATACGATAATGAATATGAAATAAAGAAAGATCCATGTCTTCGAATAGCCCCCATATAACGGAACCGCTTGATATTCTGTATTTTGATAATATTAGCGACATCATTCAGGGGAATTGTTTCAAACTTGGTATTTGAAGTTCGAAATGGATTCCACAGACTAAGACAGAAAATTGTCACTGCAGGTTCACGTCTTCGTATAGCCCCCATATAACTCTACCTCCCGATATTCGGTATTTTAATGATTTTAGCGACATAATTCTTTCAAATTTGGTATTTGATGTTCGTAATGGGTGCTATAGCCTATGACAGGAGATTGTCTGTGCAGGTCCATGTCTTCGTATAGACCCCATATATCCCGATATTCGGTATTTTGATGATTTTAGCGACATTATTCACCGGAATTTTTCAACTATGGTATTTGAAGTTCGTAATGGACACTACAGCCTGAGACAGACAATTGTCTGTGTAGGTCCACGTCTTCGTATAACCCCCATAGTACGGTACCTCCCATTTTATTGTTTTTGAGAATTTCCAAATTCGTTCCAAATGGTGGAGGGTATTCAAGGTTCAGCCGGCCGAACTTACAGCTTTTTTACGTGTTTTTTATATAAATTTAAAATTTGGTGTTATTTTTAAAACAAATTCTTAACAAAAACTTGACCGTAGAATGTACTCTTTTAGCTACAACACCCCTTAAAAAGTTCTAATATTTTATTTTTTCTTTACAGGAGCGCAATCACCACCCCTGCATGCGATCAATCGAGGTATTGGTACTGAAGGTTTAGGCACGGTCTTGGCTGGCCTTTGGGGTGCTGGTAATGGTACAAATACATTTGGTGAGAATGTTGGTGCCATAGGTGTCACTAAGGTAAGTCAATTGGAAATTCAATTATTAATGACGTACGCATTCTATTAAACCAAATTCGTTGATAAAATTTATAATCTGTCAATCGAAGTTAATAGCTTTTTGAAGAGCGACCATAAACAATTAATACAGATTAGGATTTATTAGCTTTTATTAATTGATAGCCGAAAATTTATTTGGGTCAGTGTATGCCAATAAATATTTAAACATAAGTTTATTTTATTTTTAAACTTCCCCATAGATTGGTTCCCGTCGTGTCATCCAATGGGCTGCCTTTATTATGATTCTGCAGGGTGTTATTGGTAAATTTGGTGCGGTGTTCATCCTTATCCCCGATTCCGTTGTGGGCGGTATATTTTGTGTTATGTTCGGTATGATTGTTGCCTTCGGTCTGTCCACGCTACAGTATGTGGATTTACGTTCAGCACGTAATCTCTATATTTTGGGTTTGTCGATTTTCTTCCCAATGGTCCTGTGTAAATGGATACAAGAACATCCGACAGCCATTCAAACGGGTAATGAGACGGTGGATTCAACATTAACGGTGCTCTTGGGTACCACAATTTTAGTCGGTGGTCTATTGGGTTGCTTTTTGGACAATGTTATACCAGGTAAGGGGAGGGAACTGCTGATATGTGGATATAGTGAAGTTATAATTGATTTTTATTTTGTAATATTAGGTACTGCAAAGGAGCGTGGACTGGTGGATTGGGCCAATGAAATGCCACTTGGTGATGATAACATAAACGACGGCACTGCCACGGATTATGATTTCCCCTATGGCATGGAAACACTGAGACGGTAAGTAAATGTTATTTAGGAAATATCAAAGATGATAAGTGATGCGATGAAAAAAACATGAGCATAGTAAACATGAGAGTAAAAAGTATCTCAAATTCTAAAAAAAATGCAGGATTTTGAATTTTAATTTTAAAACCCTTAAAGACAGGCCAACAAATCGGGCAGGCCGACTATGACACTCTACGCCGCTATGTATATTTAGCAGAGCTACCCGTAACAAATAAACGTTTATATTAGGAATTTATCTGAAGTAGATAATCCCAACTATAAACCTATTTTGAATGCATATTTAGAATCAGAAGGAACAAATGAGTATTCTGCTCTGAACCGATTTCCACTAAATCTAACGGACCACTTGTACCAAAAAACAAAACTACAGCGTACAGGGCATGGCTTCAAATAGAATTATATTAAACAAGTAAAAAAAACAGCTAACTTTCGAACTGTCAATAACCTTCATCATTTGGAAGAAACTTGATTTAACAAATTCCAAAAAAATACCATTAAAATGATGAGCTTTATACGTAAGCTATACGAAGACGCGGATCTACATAAGTAATTTGTTTATGTCATAGGCTGTAGTACCCATTAAGATCTTTAAATAACAAATTTGTATCAATTCGGGTGAATAATGTCGTTAAAATCATGAAAATACCGAATATCGGGAGGTATAAAGGTAAGGAGCTATACGAAGACGTGGACATGCATACAAAATTGCATAGGCTGTAATACCCATTACAAACTTCGAATAAGAAATTTGAAACAATTCGGATGAATTATAGCGTTAAAATCATGAAAATGACGAATATCGGGACGTACCGTTATATGAGGGCTATACGAAAAAGTCGAACTTAACTTGCCTACTAGAAAACAAGTAAAAATGTTGTAAGTTCGGCCCGGCCATTTGGAACGAATTTGGCAATTCTCAAAAACAATAAAATCCGTTAAAAATTCTGTTAATATCTTAAAAATACCAAATGAAGCTGTTATATTAGGAAGGTGCCATTATATGGGGGTTATACGAAGATGTAGACCTGCACAGACAATCTCCCGTCATAGACTGTAGCATCCATTACAAGCATCAAATACCAAATTTGAAACAATTCCGGTGAATAATGTCGCTAAAATCAAGAAAGTGCTGAATATCGGAAGGTACCGTAATATGGGGGCTGTACCAAAACGTGGACCTGCACAGACAATTTTCTGTCTTAGGCTGTGGTATCCATTTCGAACTTCAAATACCAAATTTTAAACAATTCCGGTGAATAATATCGCTAAAATCAGCAAAATACCGAATATTTGGAGGTACCGTAATATGGGGGCTGTACCAAAACGTGGACCTACATGGCCCATTTTCAATACCAAAAGTCCTGCAGACATAATACACGTTTGAGTAAAATGTTATCAATCTACTTTAATTCATTTGGAAGCTGGAGTGATTTCCACAAACGGACGGACATCCCTAAATCGATATAGAATTTTATGCTGATCAAGAATATATATATATATACTTTGTGAGGTCTAAAATGTATATTTCGTAGTGTTACAAACGGAATGACAAACTTAATATACCCTCCATACTATGGTGGATGGTATAATAATAACCAATGTGTGCAAAATTTTAGCCTTCTTTCTCAATGCGTTCGAAACATAGCATGATTACAACAGACAAGCAGACAGATAGATTCTTAGAATCTTATGCTGACCAAGAATATATATTTATACTTTATAGGGCATAGAATACTTATTTCGAGGAGTTAAAAACGGAATGACAAACTTAATATACCGTCCAAACCATGTATGGTGTAAGGTATAAAAATAATTGTCGTACCAATAGATATATGGGAATCAAGTTTCAACAATTGAAAAATTGGGTTGAATGTGCAAAAATCCATCGAATCCACTCTATTTATGCTTATATTAACCATTTGGTGGACAATAGCCACGGAGTCGGGTGAAGATATGTATGGAAATTATATCCAAATCTTAACCGATCACGATAAAACTTGGAAGAGGTATTTTTGAACTATATCTTATCATATCTGGTATCAAATATCATTGTTTTGGAGTGCATATTACGAATGTGAGGGACACCAATGTATTGGAGCTATAGCTATATCTGAACCGTTTTAGATAAGAGGGAAGCTGTATCTATTCTGAACAGATCTCCATATAATTTGTTAGAGGTATTTCTGAGCTGTATTTGATATCTTTTTCCGAATATCGTTGTTTTGGAGTGAATATTACGGCTGTATATGGAAGTTATAGCTATATCTGAACCGATTTACACAAATTTTGTCATATTTGCTTCTAGGCTCAATTTGGTCTCATGTACCAAATTCCATTCTGTTTGGCCTACTATTAAACTGTAAGAGACAAAACGGACGAAGTTATATATGGGAGCTATATCTAAAATTTGACCTATTATTACCAACTCTAATAGGGTTTGTTCATGGGCCAATCAAATGACTTGTTGTAAATTTCATCTCAATCGGACAGTAGTTTGTACGAACTGTAGTTTGCAAAAATTTAATCAGCATGTGATTCCATGGAGATCACCAAAGGGAACCATTGGTCTCACTCTATCTTTCTTCTCCATATAACAAACAAATCATAGACGTTGATGTCTCTTCTTCTCCGTTGTGAGTAAACATCAATTAACAGACATATATGAATAATTTTCAACAATTCAGTTTCTGTCAATTAATTTTTGAGCTAATTGTAAATATATTTTGGTTTAGAAATTATGAATTAAATAAAATTTTAACGCACCAAAGTTATTTCAAAATTTTCTTAAGAATTTCTCTTTAATTATTTTTCCACATCTATGAAACAAATGCATGAATTTTCCAATTTTATGGCACATTTTTATACCCTCCACCATAGTATGGAGGGTATATTAAGTTTGTCATTCCGTTTGTAACACCTCGAAATATACATTTTAGACCCCATAAAGCATATATATTCTTGGTCAGCAAAACATTCTATGCCGATTTATCAATGCCCGTCCGGCTATTCGTCTGTGGAAATCACTCTAGCTTCCGAACGAAATAAGGTAGGTTGATAAAATTTTACTGAAATGTGTATTATGTCTACAGGACTTTTGGTATTGAAAATGGACCATGTAGGTCCACATCTTCGTATAGCCCCCATATAACGGTACCTCCCGATATGCGGTATTTTAATGACTTTAGCGACATTATTTACCGGAATTGTTTGAAATTTGGTATTTGAAGTTCGTAATGGATACTACATCCTAAGACAGAAAATGAGCCATGTAGGTCCACGTCTTCGTATAGCCCCCATATAACTGTACCCCCCGATTTTCTGTATTTTGATGATTGTAGCGATAATATTTACCGGAACTATTTCAAATTTGACATTTGAAGTTCGTAATGGATACTACAGCCTATGACAGAAAATTCTCTGTGCAGGTCCACTTCTTCGTATAGCCCCATATAACGGTACCCCCAATATTCGGTATTTTAATGATTTTAGTGACATTATTTACCAGAATTGTTTCAAATTTGGTAATTGAAGTTCGTAATGGATACTACAGTCTATGACAGAAAATTGTCTGGGCAGGTCCATTTATAACCCCCATGGTACCTCCCTATATTCGGTATTTTGGTGATTTTAGCTACCCTAATATACGGCTACATTCGGTATTTCTAAGATTTTAACAGAATTTTTAACGGATTTTATTTTTTTTTTAAATTTTTAAATTTGTACCAAATGGTGGAGGGTATTCAAAGTTCGGCCCGGCCGAACTTACAGCTTTTTTACTTGTTTTAATACAGATATTCAAATGCCTTGCGATTTTCTTACCCATTGGGAAATAATGCTATCCAAGTTGACAACGACTAAATGTTTGTACAATATTTTGAAATGTTTACCCTACGGATTCTAATGACAACTTTTAAACCTCGGCGCTGCATCATTTAATAGTCCCTTATCTTCTTAATTTCAAAGAAAAAAGCTGTTCCCATCACTTAATAGATGATTTATCTTGGGGTAGTACTATTTGATCACAGGTCAAATTCCGATCGTTCAACAATGCTTTACAAATGTTTTATCTTAAAGAAGGTGACAGCAAACAATACAAAACAAACCATATATGCTGATAAAACTTCACGCACATTCTATACCAGGAATATTTTTAGATTTTTTATTATTATTTTACAATTTTTTTGTACGTCATGGAAATCTAAGAAAATAACCACCAGTCTTTTAAACAAACATAATAACCGAACATCAACGTTGTAAGTCATTATTTACAGTTTTATATTGTATGAAGCTATTGCTGCACATGACGGTGATGTAGATAGATAACGCTACAACGTATAGCGGCTACACTGAGTTGTACGAGGAAATTTTGAAAACTCATCATTGTTTTTCTTGGCTAAAGACGAGTAAAATAGAAAGTACATTTACAATCTTTACACATTGCCACAATTGGTGTTGTAAACTAATTAAATACGTTAAAATGTAATTATCTTAAACTATTTCGCTGATATCAAGGTCGTGGAAAGATTACAAAAAAGGGGAATATAGGTAGATTGCTGCAGTTACTTAATGATTACTCAACTTCTCAATTTGTCTTAATTTATTCTAATTTATTTTTAATAATAAAAATTATTTTTCCATCTTTTTTCCTTACAGCTGGAAATGGACCTACTATGTGCCCTTCTTACCCACATATAAACTACAAAAACAAAGCTGATTTCTAAATAAGCACAATGCACAGATGAAAAAAAACGAAATATTTTTTATTTTATCCAGTACCTATTGTTATTGTTTTATTATAATTATTGTTTTGTTGTAAATTTACCATCTACAGTTTATGTTTAATTTTAAATATTATTCAAATGTACTTAATAAATAACAAAATGTTGTATCAAATTTCTTGCTTGCTATTTTTTATTTTCTTTTATTAATTATAGGTTGTCAGAATTGTAAAATATTTACAACATTGTAATAATTAAGTTATCGATATCTATTATATCTCACAAACAATAGACAAATGAATGGCTGACTTCAACACATTATTTATTTTTGCATAAATTAACAAGTAATAAAGCAGCTATGTTCGGCCGAGCCGAACTTTTAATACCCTCCACCATTTCGAAGAAACTTGAAAAATTAAAAAAAAAACCGAAAACTACCACTTAAATGAAAACCGTTATATGGGGACTATACGAAGACGTGGCTCTGCATACGAATTTTTTTGTCATAGGCTATAGTGCTCATTGCGAACTTCTAATATGAAATTTGTAACAATTACGGTGAATAATGTGGCAAAAATCATAAAAATACGGAGTATCGGGAGGTACCGTCATATCGAGGCTACACGAAGACGTGGCCCTGTATACGATTGTTTTTGCCATGAGTTGTAGTACCCATTAAGATACGACATTTGAAACGAATCCGGTGAATAATGTTGCTTAAATCGTCAAAATACCGAATATAAGGAGGAATTTGTATATGGGGCCTATACGAAGACATGTATACTTTAGTTCCCAATTACGAACTCTAAATACGTAATTTGAAACAATTCCGGTGAATAATGTCGCTAAAGTCATTAAAATACCGAATATTGGGAGGTACCGTTATATGGGGGCTATACGAAGACGTGGACCTGCACAGACAATTTTCTGTCATAGGCTCTAGTATCCATTTCGAACTTCAAATACCAAATTTTAAACAATTCCGGTAAATAATGTCGCTAAAATCATCAAAATACCGAATATAGGGAGGTACTATGGGGGTTATAAAACGTGGACCTGTACAGACAATTTTCTGTCATAGGCTGTAGTATCCATTTCGAACTTCAAATGCGAAATTTGAAACAATTCCGGTAAAAAAAATGGCTCTAAAATCATCTAAATACCGAATATCGGGGGTACCGTTATATGGGGGCTATACGAAGACGTGGACCTGCACAGACAATTTTCCGTCACAGACTGTAGTTCCCAATTACGAACTCTAAATACGTAATTTGAAACAATTCCGGTGAATAATGACGTTAAAATCATCAAAATGTCAAATATCGGAAGGTACCGTTATATGGGGCTATACGAAGACGAGGACCTGCACAGACAATTTTGTGTCTTAGGCTGTAGTATCCATTTCGAACTTCAAATACCTAATTTGAAACAATTTCGGTAAATAATGTCGCAAAAATCATCAAAATATCGCATATCGGGAGGTTCCGTTATATGGGGACTATACGAAGACGTGGACCTATATGGCCCATTTTCAATACCAAAAATCTTGCAGACATAATACACATTTGAGTAAAATTTTATCAACCTACTTCATTTCGTTCGGAAGCTAGAGTGATTTCCACAGACGGACAAAATTTTATCAACCTAGAGAGATTTCCACAGACGGATAGACGGACGGATATTGCTAAATCGACATAGAATTTTATGCTGATCAAGAATATATATACTTTGTGGGTTCTAAAATGTATATTTCGAGGTGTTACAAACGGAATGACAAACTTAATATACCCTCCATAATATGGTGGAGGGTATGAAAATGATTTGAATTGAGACAAATTGCAAGACGAATCAATTTGTTATATGGTGATTGAATTTATAGCAGAATATTGATAAATACTTTTTTGCAGAACATTTAAAACAATGATGCATTGATTAGATAGGGGAAGTAGCGAAGATTTATTTGAGTAAGTTACAAATTAAACAAAATAGAGACTATTAATGCATAGAATGCAGTTCGGATAGAGTAGTCTTCAACTTAATGACCAAACGTATTAAAATGATTCCCTTTGTCATGTAGTATGGATCAGTTTAAATTAACTCTATCTTCTATAGCTATAAAAGTTTGTTTGTTTGTAATTTATGGACTCGAAAACCGCTGGACAGATTTTCCTGAAAATTTCCAAATATACTACAATATCGCCTGAAAGTAACATAGGCTATATAAATTTTTGAAATTCCACCTGGAATTGGAGATATAACATCAGAATCAGAGGTACCTCCCAAAAATTTAGACTTTAAATGCATATATCTATTGATCGATTGCAGATAAAGTCACCAAATTTCGAATGCGTAAATTTAAAACAAAAATAAATTTGCCAAATAACATTGAAATCGGTTCAAATTAGGTTATAGCTCCCATATACATTTTCGGCCGATTTCAGGTATTTGATGCATCAAACACGCCATGTATATATAATTTCAATGATATTTGGAACGTGTAAAGAAATTTAAAACGAATACACCTTTGTTAAATGATATTGAAATCGGTTCACATTTGGATATGGCTCCCACATATATTTTCGACCGATTTCGTTTATTTGATGCACTAAACACGATATGTATGTTCAATTCCAATGAAATTTGGAATGTGTGACGGGTTTTTGATCAGAAAATAAAGTTTGCAAATTATATTGAAATCGGTTAAGATTTGGATATAGCTGCCATATATATTTTGCGGCCGATTTCACATATTTGATGCACCAAACACGATACGTATGTACGATTCTAATTAAATTCGGCATGAAAGACTAAATTTGGAACAACAAAAATAAATTTGCCAAATTATATTGAAATCGGTTAAGATTTGGATATAGTTTGATACACCAAACACGATATGTATGTTTGATTCCAATATAATTTGGTATAAATGACGGAATTTATTAAAAAAATAAATTTACGAAATCTAATTGCAATCGATACAGATTTGAAAATCTAAACCATTTTTCACAAAATTTTACATATTTGCTTCAAGGCTCAATTTGGTCGCATGTGCCACCTTCCATGCTATTTGGGATAATATTACAACAACATAAAGGACATATCGAACAAAGAAATACACGGACATCCATCAGAAATCCCAATAAAACAAATTTTCCAATTTTATAACAATTTTTTCTTTTAATTCAGACTGCCTGGCGATTTGCTTAACCAATGGGAAAAATTATAACCATCCATTAATACAGACTTTTCATTTTTTTGCAAATATGAAGATACTTGTCAGTTTTAAAACCTCAGTGATACCATGATGATTTACCACTATCTTTTTTAATTCCGAAAAATAAACAAACAAAAAAAAACGGTCCCCCACTAACAGATGATTTATCGCAGGTGAAATTCAGGTCGTTCAATAATGCTTTACAACTTTTTTATCATAAAGAAGGTGACAGTACACACTACTCAAAAAAAACCATATATGCTGATAAAAATTCACGCGCATTCTGCACGAGCTATGACAAGAAAGACAATCCAAGTTATTTTCATTTATTGTGGAATATTTTTAAATCTTTTTATTTTACAATTTATTTTTGTACGTCACGGAAATCTATGAACATAACCACCAGCTTTTAAACAAACATAACAACCAAACATTAACGTTATAAGTCATTATTTACAGTTTAATATTGTATGAAGTTATTGCTACACACGATGATTATATAGATAACGCCACAATATATGGCGGCTTTACTGAGTTGTAGGATAAAATTTTGAAAACTATTTTTTTTTGGCAAGCACGAGTAAAATAGAATGAACATTTACAATCTTCACGAATTACCTTAAGCCATTTCGCAGATACCAAGGTCGTGGAAAGATTACAAAAAAGGAATATAGGTAGATTGTGACAGTTAATCAATGTTTACTTGACATCTCGATTACTTGTATATTCAAATACCTATGAAAACATACAAATTTATTTTAAACTAGCTGGCCCGGGATCGAGATGTCAAGTAAACATTGATTAACTGTCACAATCTACCTATATTCCTTTGACTGATATAAGTGTTCACGTACTGGTCGATTTAAAGTGTTTTAAAATACCTGTACCCATATCTAAGCCGTGGCCTTAAATATTTATACCGTGGACTTCAAATGTGTGGATGTGCTATACAAATCCATTAAAAAGTATATATCAATCGTATCTCCATGTAAGGAAGGGAGGGGAAGGGAGCAATAATTTGGAATTTACTGTATTTCGTAGACTTTATAATTGAAGGCTGAATGATTTAAGAATAGCCAAAGTTAATTACTTTTTTAAACCCATTAGCACCTCAGATTGTGCTCTTAAGTCCCCCTAACCATGTCGGTTTGTTTGAAATTTTTGTATAAGATTTCCACCCCAAATATACATTTTTAGCCAAATCCTTTGAAATATGGTACAATCAGGGGGTACCTTTATATGGGCACTACTCGGAAACATCGACCTACATTGAAAACTTTCTTCTGCCCCTTATAATCCAATATGATAAATAGAGGGCAAATCAAAAATATAGCTATTTTACACCCATTACCGTAAGATGGGAATTAATTTTATTTGCCATTTAAATTGTAAGTTGGAGACCCCATAAAGTCCATATTTTTCATTATAGTATAACTCAATGACGATTCAACAAATATTCGGTCCCGTGCTACTTTCTTATATTTGTCATTTGTTCATGTTTTCACAATTTATTTGATATAGATGTACATCCCAAATCTACGTTCCCAACCAATATTCTCTTGGGGGTTACAAATTACAAAATTTTCTTTTCTGACCACACATTAGATGTGAAAGTGGACTTGGGGATACTCCAATGTGGGGACTTTGCTTAAATAAATTCTTATGAGGCAATTATCTGTATGATGGTTCCCTACCCAAGGTAGCATATATACAATTTTTTAGCCAAATCAATTGATAAATGTGGTCAAGACCAATATGGGCCCTACTTACGCGAAAAGGTTCTCTACCCCCTTAGACACAAAGATGCCAAATAAGGGCCAAAAAATGAAGAAAGTGGCCAAGACCCCAAAAAGAGCTTATATCATACGATGTAACCATCGTAAAATGAAATCGGAAGAATAGAAATCCTTTTCTTACTAAGAGTCCCATTCGCTCTACTATTTTCCACCCTATATATTTGG